CTTAGAACGTCCTGAGTCCCAGCCACCACTTGATTGGCCAAAGAGACAGCGTATTGCGTTGGGATCTGCAAGAGGGCTTGCATATTTACATGATCATTGTGACCCAAAGATTATTCATCGAGATGTGAAAGCTGCAAATATTTTATTGGATGAAGAGTTTGAAGCCGTGGTTGGGGATTTTGGACTTGCAAAACTCATGGACTACAAAGACACACACGTGACAACCGCAGTGCGTGGTACAATTGGTCATATAGCCCCTGAGTACCTTTCTACAGGAAAATCATCAGAGAAAACCGATGTCTTTGGGTATGGAGTCATGCTTCTTGAGCTTATCACTGGACAAAGGGCTTTCGATCTTGCTCGCCTTGCAAATGATGATGATGTCATGTTACTAGACTGGGTATATATATACATATATGTGTTTCCCACTTGTATAGTTCATGATCTGTGTTGCCTCTATATGTTGTTAATTATGGGTTGTACCCTATGACAGGTGAAAGGGTTGTTAAAAGAGAAGAAATTGGAAGCACTAGTAGATGTTGATCTTCAGGGGAATTACATAGACGAAGAAGTGGAGCAGCTGATTCAAGTGGCTCTGCTCTGCACTCAGAGTTCACCAATGGAAAGACCCAAAATGTCTGAAGTTGTAAGAATGCTTGAAGGAGATGGTTTAGCTGAGAGATGGGAAGAGTGGCAAAAGGAGGAAATGTTCAGACAAGATTTCAACTACCCAACCCATCATCCAGCCGTATCTGGCTGGATCATTGGTGATTCCACTTCCCAGATCGAAAACGAGTACCCCTCGGGTCCAAGATAATATCCGAACACGAATGCTTTTTCTGTATTTTTTATTTTATTTCTGTATTTAATGAGGGCTTTAGTTTCTGCTGCTCCATATTATTGGTTGGTTCTTAAGTGAATACATGAGGATCTGATTGGGTTTGTAAGTGTTATATGAAAAAGAATTTGAATGTTGTTGAAAGCTAAAACCCAAACATGTCTCTAGGTACTTGAGGATTGTTGCGACTTAATTCACACTTTTGTATCCCATCAATTGTTCATTTTCACCGTGCGTCAGGTTTCTCTTCTTACGTTTCTTGGTTACACTATGTTGACATGTTAATAATACTACACGTTTATATTGTTTTAGACATTTTAAGACCCGTTCATCTTGTGATTTATAGATCCGGAGATTGTTCAAATGAAAAAAGAGTCTTTGGCCTTTACCAAATAATGCAAGCAAAAGTTCTTAGATTCATGGCAATAGAACGTCATATATCATATGGTCGCATAACCACCATTTGAGTCACCAATAATTACGTAGGCGAAGAAGTGTTTATGTTAGCAAATAAAAAAATTCAAAAACCGTAGGCGTGAGGAACCAACAAGATTAACCTAGTGGATAAATCAAGTAGACAAGAACATCAATTGGACAAGAAAATGCAATCAAATTAAATACAAGATCACCAAATATATTTATTACGTTTTTTAACCACAAGCAATAAGTGTATACAACTGCATATTACGATAGTACACAAATTTTACATGGTAGCTAGCCTAGGAGATTCATCATTCTTCATATTTATGATAAGAGTAGAGAAATTATTAATTAAAGGTGGGAGCATAAATACAAAAATCGTAAATAGATATGGCCTAGGCTAATTAATACTCCGACAATTTTGACGAATTTCACCTTGAGAGCCAAGTTTAACGTCAAGATTGCTCATCTTGCGCATGGCCTGTTGGAAATCAAAGAAGAACTTCGCTTGGTTAAGGGCATAGCCATTAACAAGATTCCTGGTCCTTGGTGTGTTGAATAAGGTTTGGTCCGAAAAGAGGACTCCTGATTTCATCTGAAGCGCATTGAAGTAAGCATTGTCGAAATCGTTGCGCGTAGCATCAAAGGGTTGCTCTGCATTGTCACCCGCGCTGCAAGTTTTAGAGAGAGTGTTTGCAAAAGTCGAGTCTAATGAAGAGTCTGGGACGGTAAGTCTAGCCTTGAAGGAGGAGCATCGTGCAACTCCTAGGGTATGTGCTCCTATATATCCCCACAAATTATTAAGTTAAAACCAAATTAGAATGTGGAGCATTCACTGTCTTGATAAACATATTACATGGATTTCATTCCAAGTGATGTGAATCAATTATCTGATTTTATAGTATTATAGAAACTAATAAAATATTTTATTGCTAAAGAAGAAAAGAGAAAAATGAAACAAATTTATTCTCCAGAACTACTGATAATGGGGCCGATGAAGTAAATTAAGTGAAAAAAAAAAATAGCAAGAAAAAAACTTTGAAACCAATTAAACAGTTATAATTTTTTTTTACCATTTTTTTTTTCCTTTATAGAGGTAATACCTAGTGGATATATAGAGATTTATTACACACAATAATACACACACATATATATAGAATGCAAGAGTATTGCAAAGACTCACCAGAGAGAGCAACAACATCTTGTGGAGTGAAACCACGTTGGCCAAAAGTTTGAATTAGTTGAGAGGCATTGAGAAAAGGTGAAGGTAGATTTCTTGTATCTTCGATTTTCGATCTTTTACCATCAAACCTTCCTTTTGGTATATCATAATATGGACCACCAGCCTAACAATTTCAATTACTCATTAGATTAAATACACAAATTAATCATCTTTCATATAATTACAGAAGATTCAAAATCTTGATCAGCTTAATTAATTACCCAAAAGACAGCATCTCTAGCAGCCATGGCAACAATATCAGCGCAAGATACAACTCCTGGACATCTATTCTCGATTTTCTGTTTTGCATCATCGATAATCTCGTAGCCACGTAGACTCAGATTCGCAGGAGAATCCTTTTCCGCAGTGTTGTCTTTTGTAGAATCTAGAAGAATCGACGCGTCACATCCCTTAGTATAGAAAGAAAGAAAAAAAAAAAAACTAATTTTAGGGGATTTCTACGTAAAAGACACCATTAATTAGAACTTAAAATCAATGAAACAGAGAAAACGTTACGCACCTCTATGAAACAGTCATGGAACAACATACGGATAAGACCAGCGGCTAAAGTGGGATCGGCTTGAAGAGCATTGTTAACACTGTTCTTCACAATCTGTTCGGCGAAAGGACAGCTCATCATGTAGTAAGTCATACTTAAGCCCCTCGCATGAAAAGGAAACCCAACAATGGCATGCATCAACAGAATCATGCTCACTAAATTTGCCCCAACCATCTTATTGTTTTGTATCTTAAATCTTGTCAACATGATAATGATCAGCTTAATTAAGCAGCTTCACTATGTATATCGCTAATCGCTAATATATATATAGTAAGAAGTCGCCCTCAGACACGCTTGCTTCGTAATTCGTATTGGAGTGGTTGGAACATATATGGAATACATATAATTGTGTATTGGTTGGTCCCACATTGAGTTGAAAGCAGATTAAAGTTTGGGATAGTGGTCATCTATTGTGCCTTCCCAGTTCCCGCTTATCATCGTAAAAAAACTATTCAACTTATTCTATTCCTAGTGGCTGACCTAATATTTGCATGTTATTGCATGAAAACTGGCACGTAGTGTTGACACATATGACCATTTCTTTCCTTTGCCAAAACCCGAATTCTCTTTGTCCACAAAAAATGTTATTATTATTTAATAATTAGACCTCACGCTTACTATAGCTGACCAAGTTTTCAATTAAAGTTTTAAATTTCATATATATATATATATATATATATATATATATGAATGTGAATTTCATAGAGAGTTTATAACTAATTATTACAGAAGAAAAGCTTAACCAATATAATCATAGGTGTTTTTAGCACATATATGGAGATTGAGAAATCTCAAACCCAACTAAACACTAGATTCCGTAAATTCTGCCGTTTTCCTTAAGATTTGAACAGAGAATTTTGGTTGTGGAGTTTGATGTTCCATTTTGTTTCAGATAAAGTATATATTTGTCTGAACAGAAAATTAGATGAACTTTTTATGTGGAATATAGAAACTAGCTGGATTTTTTGGAACTGTGGATGGCGTTCTAGAACTTGTCAACATTCTTGAAATCTAGAAATATATAATATTAGTGCAGAATAAGATAATGGCGACTTGATTCACGACTACTCACAATAAGCAAAACATAAAATGGATCTTCTATTATTGAAGAGAACTCAAAGAGAAAAGAAAGAAAGTCAAACAAGAAAGCGGACATGTAGCTGGCTTCCATTAGCAAGCAATATCAATAAAAATGGACAAGCGAGTTTGGTATTTTTAATGTAATCGCATGTCAGTTTCACTTTTATAACTGAGTGCTTCCTACGCGGAATTTGTAGTGGTACATTCTTCCACTTCCTTATCTGATGAAGACAAAACATAGTTGATCTCGGAGATGTTTTTTTTTTTGTTAAAACTCGGCTATTAAGATTTAAGTGTTATACACTTCACTTTGACATATAGGGTCTACTCTGAAAATTCTTATATGTATATTTTTTACAGATTTCCTCACTAGTTTATATAAAGCTTAATATATATTATTACTAAATTTGTGTAATTGACTAAATGGTTACACACTATAAATTTTAACATATATTATCAATACAATAAAATTAATAAGAGTCTCTCCATTCAGTTTTTTCAGATATTCTCAGCATGACACATCATTAAAATATTTGTCCAATAAAATTATAACAATAATACAGCTCATCGTTTTAGTCCAGTAAAAATCATTCCCTCTTCCACGTAATACTCTTATATCATCATCTTGGACTTCTTAAATTTATATAGGCCCATCTTGATATTTTGCATTATAACATAATAATGGATAATCCAGAAACATAACCAAAACGCCCAGAAGCCTATTTTAACAAACCCAGCACGTTTGTGAGATTGAGTATATAACTTGGTCGCTATCTGCATCCCTAAATCCACGACGGAAACATCAACAAGGTCCACTCACATATTTCGTTGCTGTGGTTATCAAGGTATTTCTTGATCTTGATAAGAGAAGAAAATTCATAATTTCTAAATTGCAGACCACAAGAAATCATTTTCTTGATATATTTTGTTGGCTTCAATATTCAAATGTTGTGCTTTATTGGATGGTCTAATAGATTTTTATTAGAGCATGCTTGCTTCAGCGGGTTGCCATGGAACATGGACTGATACTGGTGGACATAAAGTATGAGTTTGGAAGAAGTAGTGATGGCTCAATCTTATTGATTGATGAGGTCTGTTATCTTTTCTCTTTGTCTCCATATCAGTCTCTCTTCGAATGCACAACTGAACACATATATGCACAACTACCAAAATCACTGATTAGAATCATCATCCACTTGTACACATTGTGTATAGATTCATATACCCGATTCCAGCAGATACTGTCTTGCAGGTTCATATGAAGTGCTAAAATGTTGATAAGGTTAGTGATTTCGCCTGTTTTTGCTCTCAGTCAGGTTTCATTGGTTTATAGTACTTTGCTCCCTCACATGTTCATTTTTTTAAAAATCCAAACAGGAGTTCCAAAGAGAACTGCAATCCATACGAGAACGAGATATGCTTACATCGGTAGTCTTGGTATCTCGATTCTTAATTGTATAAAATAAGCAATTAAAATCAGAAACTTGCTTCACTACGGCGGCCGAGACGCCGCTGTGGATGTTGCAGGGGTTGTGAAGGAAGGGGTTTTGATTAGAACATTCATGGAATCGTCTTCTTCACGTGAAGAAGAGTCATCTGAAGCTTCTCCAGCTTGTATTTTAATCGCCTCTTTAATACTCAAGCTTCATAGTTCATCATCACGTGCACGGGCTTATGATGTTATATTGTTAGTTATTCTTCATCTGGTTAATATTTCTATGCTCAATGATTTTATTTTTATTTTTTACGTGTAATATTTTATTATACATAACCAAAACCATACATGGACTATACTAAAAGCTCCACAAAAAGTTTACATAAATATTTGAGGCCCAACAAGAGTCTATCAGATTACTGGTTATTATTCGTCTACGTTTTTAAGTATTGGTCTCTCTTCTAATAAGAAAAGATTTAAAGAACTTAATTGTTTATGTTTTTCTTCCTTTGAATGTTTTCGGTTGTATGTAAGGTATGTGTAACGCCAAAAATAATGAGGGATATAAGACAACATCTCTCTTTGGTGACCATTTTTTTTTTTTGTTGTTAACTTAAGAATACAAGAACTCTTGATTTGATATCGCTCCTACTAAACGTCTTTGTTTTATGTATTATGTTTTAGGCTTCTGAATAATCTTGATTGATATAATAAACTCAGATCTCTATTTCATGAGATTTCTCAATGGGATTGGATAATGCAGGTCCTTCCCACAGCTCCGCAAGATCCTTTCTCCGCCATGACATGAAGATCACCGGTCCTAACGTAGATGGTACCTGTGTATACACCGCATCGAAAACAGATTAAACATCATAATCTCACTATACTTCACACTGATCAATCTCATAAAAACATTGGACTGAGACTAGAAAGGTTCTATCAACAAAATTTCGGTAAAATCAAGTTTGATATCGGTTGTGCACAAATACATGTAGTAGAATATATACTTTTGATGTTAGGCCAAGAGGAACAAAGAAGTTAAAAAGATGGAGATATATTACCAGATAAAGTAGAGCTGGCTGAGGTGAATGAGTCAAGACACCTGCAGCTAGAGCCGCCACCAAGCCAATGGCATATCCGGGAAGTGCATACCATATGTATTTGTGTCCCTTGGAAGATTTTAGATCAAAGATATTCACCACATCTCTAGTTTTTCGATGGTCAAAACAGAGGACCAAAGCCAAAAGCATTGCAGGGATAGCCTGGAACAACAAAACAGTTAATTAAAACAACATATTTTTTTCTTTCCTGGTCACTATAGTCTGGTACACATACAACGACATACCAATCCTAAAATCAGAGAAGGGTTTAGTGTGTACCATGTCACCAAGACCAAGCATCATGAAATCTGAGGCACTCACACCGGGCACCACACCGCCCAATAGGTTCCGAGGAAACACAATTTTCACAGGCAGTTCGAGTTTCTTTGTGATCAATTGCAGTCCAGGTAGATTCAAACTGTTAGCTACTGTGTGAACTGGGTTTGAGGCTTGCTGGGTTGCCACGGCCACCATAACGTTAGCACCAAAGAATCTCTCAGAGAAGAAAACCCAGAATATGTCATATACAAAGAGACACACGAGGAGCATTGCACATATTTTGATATTGGGCAGACGAACATGGCTGACAAACGCTATACAAATGGAGATTCCAAGCAAATTGTTCAACACCCAATGGCCAGAGATGAGCCATGCCACAACTGTCATGGCACAAGCCACAAGTAGCAATCCTTGGATTCTTGTAAATGATTTGGAGCAGCAGCGTGAAACAAAGGGATCAGACAGACCAAGCTGCGTCTTCATATATAGAGCATATGGTGATAACCAATAGAAGAGAGATGAAACAGAGGCGATGGCTGTAAACGCGGTCAGGAGCTGAGAAACAGATGAGAACAAATAGAACATGAGAAGCAAACTGCAAGAGCTCATAACTGGGATCATCAAGGCCTGAGAGCTATCTAGTGTAATGGATGCTTCAGAGAAGTCACGATTTCTCTCCATCTCTTTCCCGTAGTTAAGTGCACGGAAAGCTGATGCAAATGTCACGGTGACAGCTGTGACAATGAGAGTAGCTGGAGCAGGTTCTAGCAGATACAAAAGAGTCCATAGAGTCTCCATGATAAGATAAGAGTTCCTTCGAATTATATAAAAATCCCCCAAGCCTCGTACGCATATAAGCGAATATATGAAATCCGTTGGACGTTGCAATAAGTTTCCAACAGATGTGAACCTGTAAAAGATAAATTCACACCAACAAAACTCATGTAAGCCACCTTCAAGCCAAAAAGCTTAAGTTTTTACAAGATTTACAAAACAAGGGTGATTGCTGTTTACAACAATACAGGGACATCAACAAAGATAAATAATCCACAAGACATGGTTACTAAACTAATATGTACATATGTCTATTACAAAACAGACCTCAAGCTAAAGTTGAGTTCTTTAAGAAGCAAGGTAAATCTCAAATTGTTTATGACCAGATTATAGTTAAGGAAACTAAGCTCTCCAAGTGTCTGTCTACATTTTAATAAGAAACCCAGAAATCAAAAATCAAGTTGGAATTTCAATCAATGAATCAATTTCGAGGAATTTGTTGTTCTCAACGGACACAAAACTTTGAGAACTGGTAATTCGATTAAGATATTAATTCGTCTTCTCAGCTGAAAGAGAAGAAAAGTAGAGATTGCAGAAACCAATTTACAGCGAAATTAGATTAAGACGGAAAAGAGGAGAAGCAGAGACTCTCACCTGAGAAACCCTAACGACGGAGGAGAGACAGAGGTCGAAACGGAGAATTGGGATCTAGGTTTCAGGCGCGAGGTTGGATCGTCTGTCCCATATCAGTCTCTCCGAGTAAAGGACCAAACTTTTCTATAAAATTGAAAAACATATAGTATTAATTAAAAAGTGTGCATTAGCTAACGTATTATTATTATTACGATATCAACAAAACGATAATGTATTGTAATAACGAGTAAAAACGACAGCGTATTTATGACGAGGTAACAGCATCTCCATTGTAAATTTTTTTTTGGCCAAATTCTCGTTTTTTTTGTTCAAAAATTTCTGCTTGATCTTAAAAAAACAACATAACCGTACTTCTTAAAAATCATTTCTATTTTGAATTTGAATGAACCAAACATCGAAATTCTCTTTTCTCTCTCTAAGAGAGAGAAAGCATCAAAACATGTTTTTGCCGTCCGGTATGAAATCCGGCTTTACGTCCGACATAATCCGGCTTATAAAGCGGTGTTTGGTCGGCTTTACATCTAGCATCGATCGGCTTTTCTAGCGACGATGGCTAGCTTTCGTTTACCTCCGGCGTTGTCCGGTTTATCTCGCTTATGGTACGACTATCCCGCTGTCGTGTTTTTGGTTTTGTTCTTCCGGTGTGTCCAACTTTGGATTCAGAAGTAGACAAGGTGATTCTGGTGAAGTTTGGCATGAACATAAAACAAAGATGTCTAGAGAACAAGATCAAGCAGAGTTTATGCGTTTATGTAGATCATGTCCACCTGATTTCTGTTTTCTTCAATTTAACGATGGAGATCTTCATCTATTTGGAAATCAGATGTAGATCCAGTGATATTTTGATGTCGATTTAAAGAAGAGACAAAAATATGGTGAATTTGAAGGTGTTGAGTTTTGCTTGGTGAAGCATGGCGGTTTACTGATCTCGTCTCAGTTTAAGTTTTCTTCACTAATTTAAGATGAACTCGAGAAGTTTAGACGAATTGGATATTTGGATTAGTTACAGTCTCGGGTGAATTCTCTTCGATGTTGCTCACAGATGATCGGATACTTCTCCGACGTAGATTACCGGTGCTCGGAATCTTTCTTCCCGAGCGACTCCAAAGAGTCATTGTTTGAGTGAAGGATATGCTTACACGTGGCTTCAATGGCGTCATCTTCAAAGGGTGATATAGTTTCTTTCCACGTGTTCATTTAATCATGCTTTCATCGTTTGACCATATCTATCTTCTGGGCCACTTGTGTATTTTATTAAGGCCTTTCTTTTGTTTACTTTGTTTAGTTGGTTTGTTTTAGCCTTTTAGGGTCATAAGTTCTTAGCTAGTATTCGATCTTTGTCTTGCTCTGTGGTTAATTTTCTTTCAAGCTTTAGGATCTCAGTGGTTGAGGCTCTAGTAGAAGTTTCGGGTATGATTAGATTGCACTCATGGTTCCGCTGGGTCGCGCGTTAAGTGTAAATGTTTCTAGGACGGGGTTAAGTGAGAGATTTAGTTTTGCCCTTTTTAGTATTTTATTTTTAGTTAAAATTTTTGCTGGGTTTCCTCTTTTCATGAGTTCCTTGTTAGTTTGATATGTTTCTTTTGAGCTTGCTAGGATCGTTTAAAAGCTTAGGTTCTTAGTTTGGTAAAACAAAAACAGATGGAATGCAGTGTTATGAAGGGTTGAAAATGGAGATATTGAGTTAATCTCTCTTGAGCACCACCACCAGTTGCTGAAATGTTTTCAAGACTATGGTTGGTTTTCATATGGCCCTTTCTTATCAGATCATCAAGCTGAAGCACTATTGATACCGTTTGTAGTGTTCCAACTGCTCTCTTATGTGGTTTGAGATTATTAAAAGTTTCACAATGCAAATCACAGAATATGTAATCGAGTAGAATGTGTGAGGCTAAACAAGTGTTTGGCATTCCATGTATGGTTCTTTTGAATGATAAATAAAGTTACACCTTGAGAAAAAAAAAAAAAACATCGAAATTTCAACGGGCTGTAGCCGGTATTTGAAAGTACTTACAGATCCGCTTTTACTGGCTATAGCCAGTTAACTTTCAATCTGTCTAAAGGGGAACAGCAACACATGCTTTTGAAAAACCCTAATTTTCAAAATTCAAACTAACGCTCTTCTTCTTCCTTCTTCAACTTCCCACCTTCATTTGAATAATCTCATTGCCGTTATCTCAGATTCTCTCTAGCTCTTTCCATTTCCAGGATTCTTCGATATGGGAGCAACCCACAGTCATGAAGATCTGGAGATCTGTTCTTCAGACGAGGATGAATATGAAGAATATGAAGAAGGAAGAGACGGAGAAGAAGAGGAAGAGACGTTCCAGGACTCGAGGGACCATACGTTAGGCATTTCTTCCTCCGCTCGTCGTCTCCGGCCTAAAGCTCCTTCATCATCACTTGACGACGTTGAGGCAAAACTCCAAGCTCTGAAGCTGAAATACCAATCGACGGAAGCCCCGTCTACTCAGAACTCAGCTCGGCTTTTTCGTTACATCAATGGAAACACTCCTAAAGCCAAATGGGTCACAGCTGAGAAACTGACTGCTTATTGTTTCGTTAAGACTAACAAAGGAGATGAAGATGATGAAGACGACGATGAGAATGGAGATGTGGAAAACGAATGGTGGATTTTGAAAGTCGGAAGCAAGATCCGTGAAAAGGTTTCAGATGAAATGCAATTGAAGGCTTATAAAGATCAACGCCGTGTTGACTTCGTTGCTAAAGCTGTTTGGGCTATGAAATTCGCCAGCAGTGAAGATTTTTCGGTTTTTGTAAGCAGCTATAACAATTGCTTGTTTGAGAACAATCATGGGGTTGAGTTTAATGAGGCCAATAAGGCAAAAATCTATGGGAAAGATTTCATTGGGTGGGCTAATCCTGAGGCTGCTGATGATTCCATGTGGGAAGATGCTGATGATATTTTGCTTCAAAGCCCAGGAGGAGGATCTGCAACCCCGGCGAGAGATACACAGGATTTGACTGAGGCTTTTGAAGAAGCTACAAGTGAGGGCATACACAGCTTAGCTCTAGGTGCTTTAGATAATAGCTTTCTTGTTGGAGATTCTGGTATTCAGGTTTTCAAGAACATGAGGCAGGGGATTCAAGGGAAAGGTGTTTGTGTTAACTTTGAGCCTGGTTATGGTCGGGCTCATTCATCAGCACCGAAGAAGGCTCTTCTCATGAGAGCTGAGACTAACATGCTGCTCATGAGTCCTATGAGCCAAACGCCTCATTCACGAGGAATCCATCAGCTTGACATTGAAACCGGGAAGGTTATTTCAGAGTGGAAGTTTGAGAAAGATGGAGTGGATATCTCTATGAGTGACATTACTAACGATGGTAAAGGTGCTCAATTGGACCCATCTGCGTCAACGTTTCTCGGTCTGGATAACAATAGGCTTTGCAGGTGGGATATGCGTGACCGGTATGGGATGGTTCAGGATCTTGCTACTGCGAATACTCCAGTCTTGAACTGGGCACAGGGGCATCAGTTTTCTAGAGGGACTAACTTTCAGTGCTTTGCAACTACTGGTGATGGCTCAATTGTTGTTGGCTCTCTTGATGGCAAGATTAGACTCTACTCTAGCAACACTATGAGGCAGGCAAAGACGGCTTTCCCTGGACTTGGTGCACCTGTAACTCATGTGGATGCTACATTCGATGGGAAATGGATTGTTGGTACAACTGACACATACTTGATTGTTATCTGTACCCTTTTTACTGACAAAAGTGGCAAAACAAAGACTGGCTTCGAGGGTCGCATGGGAAATAAGATTGCCGCACCAAGGTTGCTTAAGTTGAGGCCTCTTGATGCACATTTAGCTGGATCTGACAACAAGTTCCGCAATGCTCAGTTTTCTTGGGTAAGCAAAACTCTAGTTGCAGTTTATATTCGTGCTGACAAAGTGACATTCTTGAAATTTTTCATGTTTTGCTCATAGTAGTGCATATAATATTGAAGTCTAAGAATTTTCTGGAATTTGAACTATAGTGTTCCTCAGTTGCCTTGTGTTTCAACCTTGATTTTTGATAAAGGAACTTTTACTACTGTTGAATTATCTATTGATTCCTGACTCTTTTTATCTAATCTTTTCTTGTTGAAAATTTTGATATATAGGTCACAGAGGATGGGAAACAGGAGCGTCATGTGGTATCAACCGTTGGAAAGTTCAGTGTGATATGGAACTTTCAGCAAGTGAAGAATGGATCTCATGAATGCTACCATGATCAAGAAGGGCTGAAGAAATGCTACTGCTACAAGATAGTCCTGCGAAATGAATCTATCGTGGACAGTCGCTTCATGAATGACAACTTTGCAATTTCCGGTTCACCTGAAGCGCCTTTGGTCATTGCAACTCCCATGAAAGTAAGCTCTTTTAGCTTATCCAGCAAGCGATGAAACAAGCAAGTGATGGACCGGACCACTAGCTCTTTTAATTTAAATTCTAGTCTATTTGTAACCATGTGAAATTCCATTGTTCTGGCTGTATTCAGAGAAACGACATCTAGCAATGTTGCTAAACTACTTTGGTCTGGCTTTGACTTTTAAGATGTTTGGTCGTATTGTAGACGTTTTGTTTTTTCGTTTTCTTGAAAAAAGCTATGTTGGAAGATGTATCATGAAGAACGCTTATCCAATTTCTGCCTAGTTTTTATTCAAGGACACTAATTTGCGCCAAAGCTAGTGTTCAACAAATGTGTATTCTCTGATTCATCACAGAAACAAACATTGATCTTGTTGGGTTCATATATTGTTTCAGACATCTTTGGAAACTAAGGAAGCTTTAGCTCTTCTTTTATAGTATAGATTAACATTTATAGACTTTTACACAATCAAATTCTTCATATCGAACTCACTTATGTGACTTTTTCTTCATCAAGAACATAAAAAATCTTGGGAAAAGTTTCTTCTTTTTCTTTACAGGATTTGCCTGTGGAATTGGATTTGTTTCTGTTACGTTTGACTCATTAGTCTCAGCTTCTTTCTCCTTGGACCCCTGAATGCTTTTTCCATGACTCTTTTCTATGTTCACTCCATTATTATCACCATTCTTTCTCTTTTTTTCACTTTCTTCCCTCCATTTTCTCAGTTCTTGTTCTACACCCAACTTCCCTTCTTTAGCCTTCTCAGCCTTCTCCATTGCTCCTGCAAGTGTTTCCTTTCTCGAAACCATCTCTTTGTTAACTTCTTCCAACTTCTCCAAGGTTCTGTTTTCTGTTTCTTTGGCTTCTTCGATCTCAGAAACCGCTGCTGCAACTCTTGCATTGGCGGCTTCTTCAGCCTCGTGAGCACGTTTGCTAAGCTCATAGTACTCCTCTATTGTCAGTGTTACGGTTCTTGGAGAATCAACAGCGTTGTCCTTTGAACTAGATTCGCTCTCTTGCAAGGCCTTTATGGCAGCTAATGCAAGCCTCTCTGAAGCTTTAATAGCCTCAATTTCTTTCTGAGCTGCAAATAATCTGCTCTCCATTGTACTTGCTCCAGCCTTTGCTTGCTCTGCTTCTTCTTGAGACTTTCGCAGCTCTTCACGAGCAAGTTCAGCGAATGATTTTGCTTCATCAGCCTCTTGACTTGCTTGTTGCAGTTGCTTTGGTAGCTCCACCATTTCCTCTCTGGCTTCTTTTTCCTTGGACTTAACCAAAGCTATTTCGCACCTCGTTATGTCGATCTCAGCTTCTAAAGAAGCAACCGTTACCGATGCCATCCCTTCTCTTTGTTTTAGTGAGTCAAGTGCTGATTTCTCTTTCTCAATTTCCAATCTCAAGGAAGAGAATGCTACCTTTAAGGAATTCACTTCAGAAGTTGCTTTCTCCACATTTGCATTCACTTCTTCGAGTTCTTTCTTTGCAGAAGCAACAGCTTTTTGTATATCTGTAGTCTTTTCCTGTAATGAAATCTCAGTGTTTGTTACTGACTCACCCGTTTCCTGCTTTAACTTGGATGATTCCATATGATCAGCCAGTTCTTTCTTTAAATCAAGCAGCAATGCTGAAGCAAATTCAAGTTTCACTTGTAGTTCATTTGTAGAAACTATATGTTGCTTAAGTCTTTGGAGTTCTTCTTCTGCTTGCTTTAGTTCCTTCTCCCACCGGTGAGTTTCCTGATCACGCAACATGGCTGCTCCAATCTTATGTTCTTCCGCCTCCAAATGAGAAGAATGCGCACATTCTAGTGACTCCTTTGTAGCTATCAACTCTATAGTGAGTTCTTCAACTTTCCTCTCAACTTCTTTAGAAGCCAAAACAGCTTCTTCTGCTTCCTTCACTGCCAACTCTTTCTCTTTTACTAAATCATCATACTCCTTTTGCAGATTTTGTAGCTCTTCCTTGACAGATTCTAGTTCTGAAATTGCAGATGTATGTCTTGCTTGAGCCACTTCAAGCTGTGCTTTAGCTGCAACACTCACTTCATCAGCAATTCCTTGTTCCATCTCTTGAACTCTCAGCTTGGCCAGCTCAGAGTCCTGCTTTGCCTGTTTTTCTTCTGTTTCAGCTTTGTCAAGATTAAGCTTCAACTCTTCTATGAGTCTCTTTGTACTCTCTAGCTCCTCAACCGCTAGCATTTTTGACATCTCGACCATCTCTGCTTTCTTTTTGTACTCAGGAATCTCCTCCTGGATCTTGTCGAGCTCTTGTTCCACAAAATTGCGTCGCTGCAACGAAAACAGTGAGCACAACTCTTGGCCACTACAAAGGCAAAGAAGTCAGAGATATATACATACATAAGTAAATATACCTCTAATACTTTCATTCTATGTGCTTTCCAATCAGTAATTCCCCCAAATTTGGAGACAGCTTCTTTGACAGATTCAAAAGGTGATGCTGTATCAATAGAGTCTCTGAAAGAATCCATACTTCTGGGTGTTCCATTGCTCAATGGTGATGATGATCCTGCAAACCTTGGAGATAGGAGTGCTCTTGGAGATCCAATGCTTCTAGGGGAATACAGAGATCTTGGAGACACTGCATTTCTTGTTGTACCCTCTGCTTCATACTTGGTGTTTACGCGAGGCAGAACAATCTCAGCAGAGGGAGAAACAAAAGTAGGAGTAGTAGAAGAATCTTGTGTTTCTTCTACTTGAGAGTTTGATAAAGTGGAAGGTAAAAAAGTGTCATCCATATAAATTTTCCCATTTTCTTCGTCATTATTCTCTAGTTTTGTTGGTATTGCTTGAGGCTGATGCAACTCAGGCTCTATTATGCGACCATTACTAATAACACTAGAATCTTCTGGAGGAGATACTGCATCTGTTGTTTTCAAATCCTCCATTGGAGGAAAGCAAGAGAAACTCTAAAACGAAGATCACCACCAAAAGATAGAATCAATGAAAAGAGACTTACAAGAGAAAGGAAAAATGAAGAAAGTAGAAGAGAATTATTGATTTTCCGATTAAGAAGACATGAAAAGAGAGGTACACAATTGGAAAGTCTGTTTTTAGAATAGAGACAACCCCGGAACACACAGCATATGAACACCTCTCTTTTTCTCTTTTCCCTCCGTAATTTTTGCTTTGTTTTTTTTTTTTAGTTCCTATACTTTATCCATTATTCATTTTGAGAGTTTTAATGTGATGTTTTGTGACATAATTGAAATTACAGACCAGATCATATAACAGGAGACAGACATTTTGATCGACGTAATTCCCATAGACTGTCTATAGATAGCTTTTCAATCATCCACTATAGAATCGAACAAGCTTGGACAAAAACATGATTCCTCAAACCATATTCGACTTCCACAAGTGTTTAAAGCCAATCAACAAAAACAACAAAACATTCTATTCTCTCGTATACATTTGCCCAAAGATGTTAGCATCTTTGGTACGGTACTCCAATTTTCAAGACTCTGAAAATGGTAACACAACTGAGAAAAAACCAAAACTATCTCCTATTTGTCCCATCAATCTGTCTACATGGGTTTTGCTCAAGCCGTTATAACACCTGAAACCCATGGAACGATAGAAGGCGCTTTTGGGTGGTTGTTTCTGTATGTCTCAGAGTATCTGTCTTTAAAATTCTGTTTTGGCTTCTCTGCCTGCAATTCGCATAGACATCATTTATATGAGACAAGCTTCCAATCCAACTTGGACGAGTAATCTCAAGGAAACTGAAAATTGGATAAAGTAGTATGTGAAAGAGGTAAGTTCTTACGTATTTTAGCCAACATTCCTGATGTTTATGCTCGTAAATATCTGGAGAGAAACAACCAAACTCAGATGGGCAATAAACCCAAATGTTGCATCTTGTTTCTCCAGGTCTCGCACGCTTTGCCTGGTCTAAGCAAGCCTGGCAACAATCAGCTGCACTCTCTTTATGATGTGTAAGTCCCCATCTCACTGCAGCACCACCATAATCTGTGTGAAGCTCTGCATTGCATACTGCTGGCACTGGTCTGCCTGCTAATATCTCCTCTGTAAGGAAAAAATGCACAACCTCATGAGTTTTGAATTCGCCAGTGTCACCACACTTTTCCACCCAAATAACTGCAAAAACAGATATCAAGAATATAGAAAATTTTGAGAAATTACCAGGCTCTTCCTCTCCTTCAGGTTTATCATCGTGTTCTTCATTGGTAACCTCAGCAGGTAACCAGAAACCGATCTCTTCAGACAGCACATCCCACTCCAACTCCAAAGCTCTTACAAGCATCCCTAGATAATTACAGAACAAAAGAGTTTTCCCTCTAATTATACAAACAAATTTAGAGTATCCGGAGGATTCCATAAAATGAATCTTTGCTCAAGGTGAGAAACTCTACTATCTTTCTAAAAGAGTAATACCTGCTTCCTCCACTATGAGGGTGGAATTTACCCCATTTTGTCCTTGAATTAGCTCTTTAGCTTCCTCCAGCTTCTCACTGCGCCACGTTTCTACGACTTCTGTTTGCCAAATAAAGATTAGAGGGTATTAAAGGTCAATACAGGGATGACATGAATGAGTCAAAAGGAAAACTATTGTAGGCGAAAACAGTAACAAGTCCACGTGCATTACTAACACCACAAGGGAAAAATATATTTTTAGAACTCAGTTTGAAGCGTCAAAAAGCAATCCAGTGTCTCCGAAGTCTAGATTATAAGGATCTTGTCACCTCTCTCACCAAACAAATTAACCCATTACTACCTTCCACCTTATTCCTATTACTATTGTAAATAACTATGAATTAACGCATATTGCTCATTAGCCTAGTCAGCACATAATGAATGTTAAGAGTTATTCACGTGGAGTGAATATAATGACAAATCTACTCTTCACAACTTAAAAAGGTAAATATCATGACATTATGGAATTCTTGAGCATACCTTTTCTGATGTAGAAAGGAATTAGAAAAGCATGGTAAGACATATGAACATGTTAAGTAAGCTACTGGGGAACTAAAGAACATTGACAAGATTATGTATCCAATGGCACCATCACTAGAGTAAGGCCCTTTTGTGGCTCAAATGTTTTCATTTACATAGCATATGATCATCAATGCTAGAATAGAACTTAAGTGTGTGTTGGAGCTTATGTTCCATAAACGTGATGAACTTATACAAGAAGAAATAGAAAAATTAGGCATGCAAGGTCTCCATTGAAAAAACCGGTTAATTCTTGGTAATCAATCAATTGTTCTGTCTAGTATGTGATATTGCATGTAGAAAGGACTGAACTCTGTGTACCTATTTTACTATCCTGATAACTAAATGCATTAGTTGAGATAAATTCCACTTGTACATGAATGATAATGAGATATTTACTAAACTGAGCTCTTGATATCAACCACATCTAACACAGGTTAGGTAAATAAGACAAAGGACCGTCACATTCCAAAGAGGGAAGAAGACAAATCCTAAGCAGATAGATGAGGAAAGTCATGAAATGTAAGTTTGTGGCAGTTTGAAAAGTAAATGTGACGACTTTTATATTTGAGTCTGATTGTCAAGCTAATGGTCATAGTATAGTAGCACAAACCTCTAAGCTGAGTAACATTAGATTTCTGGTCAAAGCGTTTCAGACGCTGCAGGATCTCATCAACAAGTTTGTGTTTAACATTAGGAGAGAGTTCAGTATTAGATTCTGCAGTGGCAACCTCATGCTTCAGCTTCTTCACCTATGAAAGACATCAAACATTGTGAGAAGAACCTCAATGCATCTCAATTCGACCCGAGTTCCGATTAAAAAGGCACTAACCAATTGAACAAGCAGAGTAGGTTCTTTCGATCTTCGAATCCGAATAGATTCCTCCATTTTCCTAACCTCATCAGCTGTGTACTTAACAACTGTATAAGAAAAAAACAACAGAGCTGCTTCAGATACGAATTATCATCATCATTCATCATCAATCAGAGAGCAAAATCAAAAGGAAACAAAGGAGGCACCGTTATCGTTATTGGAATAGATGTGGAGAGAAGAAGCATAGAGAAAGCGAAGAACAAAGAGAGCAATGAGAATGTTGAAAAAGCAAACGAGAAGAGTGATTCTTTTGAAAGAGAGAACTCCGGTTCCGGCGATCCCTCCGGTCCATTCTCCTCCTCCCCTCGCCATCTCCCACCGCCGTCATCCCACCATTTCTCGCTTCGATTATATTTACACTTTGCTTAGAAGAGATTCGATTTCGTCTTTGGCTTCTTCTTCCGGCGGAAAAAGGAAATCGTGGGAGAGAGATAGCAGAGAGAGAGCTTTTAATTATTACTACTAGAGTAGTATTTAATTTCTTTTTCACTCGACAGAGATATATACCAATCTCATCAATGCGTGCTTCGTATTTTCTGGCAGCGTCTATATATATTTTTTCTTCTTCCCTATCTACAAACTAGATAGCAAGTTTTGTAGGACTTCTTGCATTCTTATGTTAATACTACTATTCTTAATGTGGTGATAATCATGTCATTGCCAATTTTTCAATTCAAGATGTTTTTAAAATACAAAATTAATATGCAAAATGGAAATAGAATTTTCGATGAAACTTACTTCCATTTAGGTAGCTCTCTTTGTATAGTTTCCTTTTTTCAAAACTTTATAACCATAGAATACTTATTTAAATCATGCCAAAGGAATCGATCAATATACGAATTCTAATTGAGGCTTTCTTCTTGGAGCTTTTCTTTTGTTTGCTTTCTGCCACAATGCCTACCAAAATCCAAATCTTTGCAACACGTAATCAACTACGAAATGCCTGCGGAGATTGAGGACGGCGTGGGAAAACTGGGATAGCAACTACGTTTATAAACAAGAACCAAAGCGCTGCTCTATTTGAAACACTTGTTGCAAGAAGCTAATTAATCAGAGGATTCCACCTGTCCTTGCTGAGTTTAATGATCCAGTGGAAGAAGCAGAGACCATTGCTAATGCTAAGTGGTGTCAAGGGTTGTGCTTATTGTGGCGGTCTCGGAAACTGGAGCACCAGAAGAGTACTGTAGCCATATCTAATTCTAGAAAAGACTATTTTGGCTCTGGTAAATACAGAGGAGAGATTTTAGTCTCTTGTTTCAAGGTTCATGCTATAATCTTGTGTCGATTTCCTTTTGCAAATTCCTTAAATATACGAAACTTCGGTTTTTGGCTTTTTGCTATCTGTCGACAAAAAAAGAAAAATTGGCTATTGGTTAACCAAAACCCTCTCAATCAGTTGGAGGTTTTTGGCTTTCATCAACAAAACCAACAATGGGCCCAAAGATGCCCAACATAAAAACAAATATGAAAATATTAGTCACCGGCTCTACTGGTTACTTAGGCGCACGACTGTGCCACGCTCTCCTCCGTCGCGGCCACTCTGTACGCGCCTTGGTCCGCCGCACCAGCGATATCTCTGACTTACCTCCAGAAGTCGAGCTCGCTTATGGAGACGTAACAGACTACCGTTCTCTAACGGATGCTTGCTCCGGTTGCGATATCGTTTTCCACGCCGCGGCTTTAGTTGAGCCTTGGCTTCCTGATCCATCTCGATTTGTCTCAGTAAGCTTGCTTTTTGTTCCACTTCTTAAATTTTAAGGTCAAAATTGGAGAGATCATGTGTTATGGTGATTTTGAAGCTTAGGTCAACGTTGGTGGACTCAAGAACGTTTTGGAAGCTGTTAAGGAGACGAAAACAGTGCAGAAGATTATCTACACTTCTTCATTCTTCGCCCTTGGGTCTACCGATGGATCTGTTGCTAATGAGGATCAAGTATGATAGTTCTAATGAATTTTGTTTTGTTGTGTTTGATTTGATTTTTATTCTGATTTTGATCTGGTCTTGAGATAAGGTTCATAGTGAGAGGTTCTTCTGCACTGAGTATGAGAGATCCAAGGCTACTGCTGATAAGATTGCTTTGAATGCTGCCTCTGAAGGTGTGCCGATAATTTTGCTGTATCCTGGTGTTATTTATGGTCCAGGCAAGCTCACTACAGGCAATATGGTTGCTAAATTGGTATGATTCTCTCTACATTTCTTCAACCTCTTCTTTTTGCTGATTAGAGTTGCATTGGTGGGGTGATGAAGTGATACATTGACAGTGTCCACCTTTCTAGATCCATTTATCTGGTTGATTATCACTTGAGCCTTCTGATTCCTTTTATTGAACTGGATAGTGAATGTTTGTTATTCCCAGTTTTGGTTTGTTAGGGTTGAATTTTTGCATTCGGATTAACTTACAACTATAATTAGACTAACCAATTGTTGTTCTTTTAGTTAATCGAGCGCTTTAACGGGAGATTACCTGGATATATTGGCTCTGGGAATGATAGATACTCCTTCAGCCATGTTGATGATGTAGTGGAGGGTCATTTTGCTGCAATGGAAAAAGGTAGGCTTGGTGAAAGATACTTACTCACTGGGGAAAATGCTTCTTTCAAGCTTGTCTTTGACATGGCTGCACTGATTACCGGAACCAAAAAACCAAACTTTAGCATTCCATTATGGGCAATCAACGCATACGGATGGTTATCTGTTCTAATCTCTCGGGTTACAGGAAAGCTTCCACTTATCAGTCCCCCGGTGAGTATAAATTGCATTCACTAGTTGCCAACAGATTATAGATTTTCTTATTTGATATAGAATAAATCAATTCGTAGTATTTTGTAATGAACAGACAGTGAAAGTGCTGAGACATCAATGGGCATACTCTTGTGACAAGGCTAAGCTGGAACTTGGTTATAACCCTCGAAGCCTAAAGGAAGGATTGGAGGAGATGCTCCCTTGGTTGAAGAGTTTGGGCGTCATTCAATACTGAAATTAAAATTTCCCATCTTTCAGGTATTTCCAAGAATAATATTCCCTTAAATTCAAGGTTTGTTCACTATGATGACTACATTTTTACTTCCACCTTTACACTTTTAACCCAATCACTTTTATTTTAATCACACGGTTCAACCCTGTATGTCAAACATTTTATATGCCAATGCTTATGATCAGATTTTTAAGAGCTCAAATCATACAACTAGTTTTAGCTATCTATTATTAAATTTCAAGAGTCTATTGTTTTTGGATATATCATGTATCTTTGCAAGGATTTTAAAGTATAAATTTCAGAAACTTTTAGGAGTTGCGTTTTAAGAGACTGAGTACGAAAGAGGAATATGTACATGTGGGAATATCACATTTTATTTGGCAAGAACTATATGATATATTTACATCTATAAAACATATGATCAGAAGATAAATACTAGAAATTGTTGCTTTTGGTCTTTTAGGATATCCACTTTATTGTAGCTGCATGGCGCGTTGGTATTCAAGACTTCTTTTCAGTTTATGCTGTTCACAGAACAAATAAAAGAGATGTCAATTAGAGGATTATTTAGTTAGAAGCTCTCACAATTACACATGCATGTCTCCGCAATAATAAATAGAAACTGCAAGAGCTACCTGTTACAGTCAACAGTCTTAGAGAAAGGGACTCCTATATTAACACCACATTTAGCAGGGAGTTGTTTGGCATAATCATCATTAATTCCAGGGATTGTATTAGCTACACTCTTCAAACAATTGCAAGCTACTTGTCTATCGGATTTCGCAGGCGCAGCGGCTTTTAGACTATTAAGTCCGTTGCAACACATCGGAGTTGGATTTCCTCCAGCTTTAAGATAAGGCAAACATTGTGCTAAGTACATGTTTACCTGCGGACATGCTATGGCTTCTCCATGATACGCAATCCCCATCAAAATTGTAATCACAAGCAGTAACATTGTTCGGGTTGTAGTAGTAATGTTCCTCATATTTTTCACTTAATGAGAGTTTTAACAAATTTGTTTTCTTTTGTGTGTTGTTTGCTTCATCTAGTATTTTTATAGAGAGAAATTTGGAAAAGAAAAAAATGGTCATCTACATGTATTTTAAGTGACAAAAGCTTTTTGTAAGTCATGTGTTTAGAATGGTGTGGAAGTTGAGTTTAGAAAGTTAATAAACGCTTTGTCACGAAACTTTGATCAAGGGCCATATTAAACGCAAATTAAAACCAATCAAGTCCACTAAAGGTTTTGTTACTTAAGACTTTACTAAAATATTGTAGATAAGGCCCACTAAAGGAGTTATCAAGTGTAGTAAAAAAAGCCCAAAAAAAAAAAAAAACAGAAGACGACTCTTAAGCCTTTTTACTTGAGTCTCTTCACTCATAGTTAGTTTCAATTCCATTTCTTCTTCTTCTTTCTTCTCTCTGCAAATCCAAAAAATGGAGTCATCAGTAAAACCCAATCCTTTCCTCTCCTTCTCTTCTTTCCTTCACCACCACTGTACCCGCTTCAGCTCCGACCTCTCCGCCCGAATTGAAGACACCAAACGTTTCGCTGAAACCCTAGCTACTCGACGTTTCTCTCCTTTTCCTCCTCCGCCGTTCGCCTCCATCTCGCAATCCAAGTCTGGAGCTCCGCCAACGACGTTGAATCCATCTCTCGTTGCTAAAGCTCTCGCTGGCACGTCGGTGTTTACAGTCAGTAACACCAACAACGAATTCGTTCTTATCTCGGATCCTACCGGTGACAAGTCTATCGGTTTGCTCTGTTTTCGGCAAGAGGATGCTGAAGCTTTCCTTGCTCAGGTTTTTCTCCTCCCAAAAAGTTTTATAAAAAAAAATTGGAAAGTTTCTGAGCTCAGAATTCTCTAATATCCTTTAGGCGCGACTTCGGAGAAGAGAATTGAAAACCAATGCGAAGGTTGTCCCCATTACTCTGGACCAGGTAGTTCACTTTCCGTATGATCACTGCATTAGTTCACTTTACTTGGGATTATTTCTTACGCGTTTATGATATCAGGAGTTCAATCTAAGTTGTCTTGTTCATGTCTAGCCTCATTTTAGTGGTTTTATGATACGGTAATAGGAACTCATGTTGGCAGTTTTGAAATGAGTGGGAGATTGTGTCTTCTTGTGCATGTAGCAATGTTGACAAAATCTTCACCAGAACGTTGACTAGGGTTATCTCTCACTAGAAACAACAGCAAGAAAGAATGGGGAAAACTTAGCTACATGATTATAATCTATCTAATGTCTTGGAACTTATAACTACATTAGGGGACCTTTTGATGTTATTTGCGTAATCATGGTAGCTACACTCATGTGTGGTAGCTACATTCCCACAAGTTTGAAGATGATGTTGTTACAGGTGTACTTGCTAAAAGTTGAAGGGATTTCTTTTCGCTTCTTGCCAGATCCAATCCAAATAAAGAATGCATTGGAGGTTGGCTCATGCTAAAAAGCCTTTTAATTATACACCTTCTCCTGCAGTTATTTGTTATTTCGATCTTATCCTTAAGCTATATTTTCTTGTGTACCAGCTCAAATCCTCAGGTAATAAGAATGGGTTTGATGGAGTTCCGGTTTTCCAGGTAAATTGCTCTACTTATTTTCTGTGTTTATCTATTATACCAATATAGATATTCATTCCTATGTGTTGGTGTTTTTGCTTTGTTTTCTCTTGATATCTATCTCTTGTAATTGTTCTCTGCAGTCTGAGCTTCTTGTTGTGAGGAAAAAAAATAGACGTTACTGCCCTGTATATTTCAGTAAGGTTGGTTAGTTTCTGCTCCCACGTTAAAGAATACTACTAGATCTCTCAAAAGCCAAAACAGAGGAAGATAACTCTTGCTTTCCTGTTCTGCGTGACCACTTTCAGGAAGATATAGAGAGGGAACTTTCTAAATATACGAGAGCATCAAGAGGAGATCAACAAATTATGGTAATGATTCCTACTTACCTTGTATCTTGAATCTTTGGTAGGCTAGAAACACCTTGATCTAAAGACATGTGGTTTACTAACAAGTGGGAGTAGCTAGTAGCCGTGTTGGCATCATATGTAATATCTAGCAGTTATTGTGCTTACATGTTCTGCAACTCCACGCTTTCTATTCATGTAACACCATGTTTTTAGAGGAACAGTGAGAGAAAAGGAAAAGTTTTAGAAATCTGAAGAACGAGCGAAATTCAGATTGTACATCCCTTCATATATCTATGACTTAAAATGAGTTCCAAGGTTTATCATTATCAAAGACCTAAGTTCACTTATCTTCAACATGGAACTTGCAGGTTGGGAGTCTGGAAGATGTGTTGAGGAAAATGGAGGTACTCACTCTTCTTCTTTGTTTAAAGAAACCGAAAAGTATGAACGCGAATAAACCGGTACTCTAATGAAATTATGAATTGAATAATTGTAGATGAGCGAGAAGAATTCAGGTTGGGAAGATGTAATATTCATTCCACCGGGAAGAAGTTATGCACAACACATGCAGGAGTTGATCAAAGAGTAAAAACGATAATAGACACAATGTGTGTATTTTTACTTGATAAAAACAGCTTCTTTTGAGATTTTGCATTATTATCATTTGCCTAAAGAGCTCAACACAGTCCCAAATATCTCCTTTTTTTTTCACTTAACACATCATCAACTTGTAATCATGGTTCTTACATGCCAAAAAAAAAAAATGTTTATTTAAAAAAAATTAAGATGTAATTCATCTTTCATTAGATTAAATCAGCATAATCTAATCCAAGGAGGTTGAGGCATGTAAATGATATGTTGGTTAAATTAAATCAGCATGCTAATTATTGATTAAATTTGGTTGACATACGATTATTAAAACAAAGATGTCTTAGCAATCCTTATTTTCATTTTCTTTTCCCCTCATCATAATCGCTTTGACATCTGAGCTTAATGATAATGTGATTATTTTCATCCTTATTATTACTGTTCTTTTTATAAGACTTATTATTACTGTTTAAAAAAAAAAACAAGTTGAAGTAAGAAAAAGAAAAGGAAAAGAAAAGGAAAAGCATTGATCTTTTGCCTTCCTATAAGCGTAAGTAACCGATGTTGACAGCAGAACTAAACATGTTGCTTGCTTGACTTCCTCCGTCGTCGCATATTATTTATACCTACTAACATTTTTCTCTTCTTTATTCCTCCAACCATTTGCAGCCTATGATCTTTTAAACCAAGTTTTCAAAAGTTGTAGTTGGTGGAGGTTTCGTGAACAAATTTGTAACATAATTTATTTTCTAACATGTATGATGTATTGCATCGTTTTCTGATAAAGATCATCAAATTGTGGAAATATGTATTTTATTATGTTCATTAATTTGATGACATTTCCCTTTATTTAATTGAGCTATAACCACCACTTTATTTTTATATTGTGTTAAGCTGTTGTATAGTCTCTATCAGAGGTTACATGTTCTCCGAACGTATGTAACAGCAAGCATTCACGATTTGTCTTATTAGTTACCAAAATATGTGAATAGATAAAGTGGTAACAAAAGTCTTTGTTCTGGAGAGCACCATAATTAGACAAAATAGTTCGATCTCCATCTCCTAATGACTGTAGAAACCTTAATAAAATTGAAAGGTGGTTTTCTACTATAATAGTATCCTAATTTAACTTGTTAAAAAAAAAAAAATTTGTAATTCTGGTCCTACATTTGAAGGTGTGAGGAAAATACGCAACTTAAGGCATACGTATGGCAAACTCATGTCATTATGTGTATAGCCCATCCACCCAAAATCGTTGGCGATATATCTTTGTTTAATAATAATAATCCATCAGGCTTGTGTTTGAGTAAAGAAAATCCTTTGAGTTTGACACGTCCAATGAAACTCTTCTAGACGTTTTTATATTTATTTTATTGTTTTACTCAAAAACTCAACCTCTACTTAAAGTACTAATTACCATGTTTTTGTTTTTTTTCTCTACCCTTCACGTGGTTCGCATATAAAGAATAATCCTACACACATATCTCGTGAAACCTTTAAACATTTTGACTTAGGAGTGTATATATATAGGATGAAAGAGAAATGTTTGTCATTGAGAAACGATATGACGATAATGACGATGATAATGAAGATGGCTCCATCCAAATCCGCACTGATACGCTTCAATCTAGTCTTGTTGGGTTTCTCTTTTCTTCTCTACACTGCCGTTTTTCTCCACCCTTCTTCATCAGTATACTTCAGCAGTGGAGCTTCCTTTGTTGGATGCTCCTTTCGTGATTGCACACCCAAGGTAAGGTGAGTTTACCTTTTTGTTTACCGAGTAAATCTTTAACCAAAACTCAGAGACTAATAAATATCTTTTATATATACTGCTATTTGATCAGGTAGTGAGAGGAGTGAAGATGCAAGAACTCGTTGAAGAGAACGAAATAAACAACAGAGATTTGCTAACCGCTAGTAACCAAACCAAGCTGGAGGCGCCAAGCTTCATGGAAGAGATTTTAACAAGAGGGTTAGGGAAAACAAAGATAGGGATGGTGAACATGGAAGAATATGATCTTACTAATTGGAAACGTTATGGAGAAACGGTGCACATACATTTTGAGCGTGTCTCTAAGCTGTTCAAATGGCAAGACTTGTTCCCCGAGTGGATAGATGAAGAGGAAGAAACCGAGGTTCCCACATGTCCTGAGATACCGATGCCAGATTTTGAAAGCGTTGAGAAGTTGGATTTGGTAGTAGTGAAGTTGCCTTGTAATTATCCTGAAGAAGGGTGGAGAAGAGAGGTTTTGAGGTTGCAAGTGAACCTAGTTGCGGCTAACTTGGCAGCCAAGAAAGGGAAGACGGATTGGAGATGGAAGAGCAAAGTGTTATTTTGGAGCAAATGTCAACCGATGATTGAGATTTTCCGGTGTGATGATTTGGAGAAGAGAGAGGCTGATTGGTGGTTGTATCGCCCTGAGGTGGTTAGGTTACAACAGAAGCTTAGTTTGCCAATCGGATCTTGCAATCTTGCTCTTCCTTTGTGGGCACCACAAGGTAAAATTACTTTTATACTAATTAATCTTTTTGTTAATATCTATAGTTTCAGCAAAAGTAACTAAAGTCAAAAACCACTCAAAACCTAAACTGAACTTCCATATATAGATATTAAGAATTTCAGATGAACCATATATATATATATTTTTTTTGAATTTAATGTTAAATTATATTCAAAAGAAAAATCAACTTGTTTACAACTTAATGCATACTATTTTTAACACAAAACTAAAGATATTATCCTATGTTTTGCTTTGAACCATATAAAATTATAATAACTAAGTTAATGTTAAACCAAAAAAGTTTTGTTTTATTTTATTTTTAATATATGTAGAGTATCATTAGCAAATATTTTGTTTTTGAATTAGGTTAAATTTTGTCCATGTTAAATACTTAAATTAATTAAACAAAAATAATTAGTCGAACTGAACTTGAACTCGTCGAGTTAACCGCGTTTTGTGGCGCAAGCGTAAAAAGATGTATAGTCGGAAGTGTCTCAGATGAACTGTGAAGTGACTAAGACATTGTAACATAAAATGACTTGCTTACGAGAAATTGATTTGAAAGGTACCAACTTTATGGTGTAATATAGAACAACTCGGTATTATTTGGATACTTTGCTTATAATTGATTGATGTGTGTTAATTAGATATGTTAGTGGTTGTGTTTAGGTATGTCGTTTTGCTAACCACCAAATATGAATTGTCATACAAGCAACCTTACACTTTTTAATTAAGGAGATAATAAAATCTTAATTGTCTTTCCAAAATAGCATTCGTATTCGTTGGTTGATCGAGTTAGTTAGCTAAATGTTTTGTGGTTTAAGAAACGAATAATCATCGAATAAGGTTAATGATAGCTTATATGCATGCTAATATATTAGAACATTATTCAAATCTTTATGAATTTGTTTGTTTGTCAACTAAGATTAATAGATATGATTATAAATATGATTATTTAATTTCTAATCACAAAAATGCTCTTTTGCCCTTGAATCTCGAGTTTGATAACCATTTATCCATGCATAGTAAATTAGTAATAACTAAAACTTGATAATAATCGTTGAAACTGGTTTTTAATGACCTACTAAATGAATATAATGAACCTTTTAATTTTGTTTTATGGTGGAGTAACTTTTTTCTCCAAAAAATTAATATAATACATTTTATCCTAAAAAAAACAAGCAGGTGTAGACAAAGTGTATGACCTATCGAAGATAGAAGCAGAGACAAAACGACCAAAACGTGAAGCCTACGTAACAGTCCTCCATTCTTCCGAGTCTTATGTCTGTGGTGCCATAACTTTGGCTCAAAGCCTTCTTCAGACAAACACCAAACGCGATCTTATCCTTCTCCACGATGATTCCATCTCCATTACCAAACTTCGAGCTCTCGCCGCCGCAGGATGGAAGCTTCGTCGGATCATCCGAATAAGAAACCCACTTGCCGAGAAGGACTCTTACAATGAATACAATTACAGCAAGTTTCGACTTTGGCAGTTGACAGATTATGACAAAGTGATCTTCATTGATGCTGACATCATCGTCCTACGTAACCTAGATCTTCTCTTCCATTTTCCTCAGATGTCAGCCACCGGAAATGATGTCTGGATATTCAATTCAGGCATCATGGTCATCGAGCCTTCTAATTGTACGTTTAGTACGATCATGAGCCAGAGAAGCGAGATCGTTTCATACAACGGCGGAGATCAAGGGTGATTAGTATTTTTAGTATTACAAATTTTAAATTATAGACTTTATATAGTTAACACTTATATTAACATAAAAAGACATGTGGTTACATATTTTCAGGTACCTAAACGAGATATTTGTGTGGTGGCACCGATTGCCTCGACGAGTAAACTTTCTGAAGAACTTCTGGTCGAACACAACCAAAGAAAGAAACATGAAGAACAACCTCTTCGCTGCGGAGCCTGCTCAGGTCTACGCGGTCCACTACTTAGGTTGGAAACCATGGCTTTGCTATAGAGACTACGACTGCAACTACGACGTGGATGAGCAATTAGTGTACGCTAGCGATGCGGCTCACGTTAGGTGGTGGAAAGTTCACGACTCCATGGACAAAGCTTTGCAAAAGTTTTGCAGGCTGACGAAGAAGAGGAGAACGGAGATCAACTGGGAGAGGAGGAAAGCAAGGCTTAGAGGTTCCACTGATTACCATTGGAAGATTAATGTCACAGATCCAAGACGACGTCGTTCTTATTTGATTGGTTAATTTTTGTTTTTCTTCTGTTTTAGATATAATATGGAGACAGACACCCATTATTGTCCAATTTGTCCCTCTCTTTTTTTGTTTCTGTTTGTTTTGAGACCATGTCTATGAGAATCTTAAAATTATTTTGAACTACAAGTATTTATCTTTGTTTCAAATTAAACTCATATGTTTAACTAAGTCCTAAGCTAATAAGTAATAACACTAGATTTTTTTTTTAAATTTGGTTTTCCTCTCAGTATTTTATTGGTTTTTTTGTGTGGACTTGACCTCAAAACTTCAAAAGAATTGGACGAAAAACAAACAAATAATATGCAGACCACTCAATGCCTCCCCAGCGGCCCTACCTAAGGTTGAGAATGTTGTCTTATTTTTATGTCATGCACGATGTGTCTGAATCAGTGTTCAAGAAAGCGCTAGGCGCTAAGCGGGCGGTGACCCAGTGCCTAGCGCCTAGAACGCCTAATCGGAGCCTAGGCGATTTTTAGGCGGTTTAGACGTTTATAACATAAAACATTATAAATATGATATTATATATAAAAGTTATATAAAATATTTATATAAAACTAAAAATTATGAAATTATAAACAAAAACTAAATAAAACATTTATTTATATTTATATTAAATAATATATGAATATTTATAACTATATATATAAATAAAACTCTAATTGAAATTGAAAAAATACATTAAACAAGTTCTATGTAATTTTAGGCGGTCAAGGCGGTTATCTAGGCGTCGCATGAGAGCCTAGCGCCTAGTCGGGGCCTAGGCGACCGCCTAGACCGCTTTTTAGAACACCGGTCTGAATTCATTTACTTTTTTTTTCCTTTTTCTTTTTCTTATTTAATTCGCGGTAGCCCAAGTCTCCTAAAAAAACAAAAAAAAGTCTTCTAACTTGTTGCTCGTTCCTTCCTTCACAGTTTCCTCATTTAACAGTGGCCAATAGATTATATGATTACGTTTGCAACTTTCACTGTCGGAATTGCTTGGAAATATCGACCACTTCTATTCTTATTAGCCTCGCGCGCGCTCTCGCTCTCTCTCTCTCTCTCATCATTGACTTCGTTTCCAATGGCCGTCACCGATTTTTTCGCCGGTGAAATTGCGACGGAGCTCCTGAGGCAGCTGTTTTTGATATCTGCCAAAGCATGGAAATACAAAAGCACAGCCGATAACCTCATCGCCTTGATTGAGGATATTCAACCGACGATCAAGGAGATTCAGTACAGTGGCGTGGAGCTTCCTGCTCACCGCCAGGCTCAAATCGGTATGCTCTTTGATACCTTTGAGAAAGGCAAGAAACTCACCGAGAAAGTCCTTAGCTCCCGTCGCTGGAACATGTTCCGTCAGCTAACCCTAGCGAGGAAAATGGAGAAGCTCGAGAAGACCATCACTAATTTCCTTAAAGCTCCGATTTTGGCCCATATCCTCGCTGACGTTCATCGTCTCCGGGCCGATTCCGAAGAGCGTTTGGATCGTGTTGACAGGAGCCTCGAGAGGGTGATTCAGCAAGTGGGTTCCATGAAAATCGGTGGAGGTGGGATGATTAGAGAGGCCATGAAGAGAGCCGAGGCTATGGAGATTGAGACCAACGACGATTTGGAGAAATTTGGTGTTGGATTGGAATTGGGAAAGATCAAGGTTAAGAAGATGATGTTCGAAGCTCAAGGAGGGGTTTTTGGTATCAGTGGGATGGGCGGTGTTGGTAAAACCACTCTTGCCAGAGAGCTTGAGCGGGACCATGAAGTCCGATGTAAGTCTACTACACTCTCATCTTCTTCTTTTCTGACTTTTGGTTTAAGAGTCCAGAGACTGTTTTAGTGAGTGAGATGGTCAATTTCTCACTTGTTTTTCTTCAGGTCACTTCGAGAACCGGATTTTGTTTCTGACTGTATCACAATCTCCGCTTCTTGAGGACCTGAGGGAACATATATGGGGTTTCTTATCTGGTTGTGAAGCTGGAAATCCTGTTCCAGACTGCAATTTTCAGTTTGAGGGCACCCGGAAGCTCGTGATTCTTGATGATGTTTGGACCACACAGGCCCTGGACCGCTTGACGTCCTTTAAGTTTCCTGGTTGCACAACTCTTGTGGTCTCACGATCCAAACTCACAGAGCCTAAATTCACTTATGATGTCGAAGTACTAAGTGAAGATGAAGCAATCTCTCTCTTCTGTCTCTGTGCATTCGGTCAGAAATCTGTCCCTCCTGGTTTCTGCAATGATCTGGTTAAGCAGGTAGTTTTAATAGTTTCTTCTCCAACGCGCAGCATATCCAAAGCTTTTCGATTCTCAGATTTCTCTGTTTGACTCAGGTTGCTAATGAATGCAAAGGTCTACCTTTAGCTCTCAAAGTTACAGGTGCTTCATTAAATGACAAACCTGAAAAATATTGGGAGGGCGTCTTGCAGAGGTTATCAAGAGGTGAACCTGCTGATGACTCTCACGAGAGTAGATTGCTTAATCAAATGGAAGCTAGTCTAGAAAATCTCGACCAGACAACCAAAGATTGTTTCTTGGATCTTGGCGCATTCCCTGAAGACAGGAAGATTCCTCTTGATGTTCTCATCAACATGTGGATTGAGTTACATGATATAGATGAAGGAAATGCTTTTGCCATCCTCGTTGATTTGTCACACAAGAATCTCCTTACTCTTGGGAAGGATCCACGGTGAGGGATCACAAAACTTGTACTTGTTCGCTTTTTTATAAGGTTTAAAAGTCTTCTGAAATTATGACTGGTACATTAATTTGCAGGCTTGGCTCTTTGTACGCAAGCCACTATGATATTTTTGTGACACAGCATGACGTTCTGCGAGACCTAGCACTTCATATAAGCAACGTAGGGAAAGTAAACAGAAGAAAGCGGTTGCTGATGCCGAAAAGAGAGTTAGAGCTTCCAAGAGAATGGGAAAGGAACAATGATGAGCATTACATTGCCCAGATTGTCTCTATTCATACTGGCAAGAGATTTTTTACACTGCAAATATTACTTGGTTCTCTCATGTGATAATCACCAGGATCATAATGTTGGTATGGATTTTTTATTTTGTTTTTGCAGGGGAAATGAATGAAATGGATTGGTTTGACATGGAGTTCCCCAAGGCAGAGATTCTAATATTGAATTTCTCTTCAGATAAGTATGTTCTTCCGCCTTTTATCACTAAGATGAGCCGGCTTAGGGTCCTAGTGATTATCAACAACGGCATGTCTCCTGCGGTTCTCCATGACTTTTCAATATTTGCCAATTTGTCGAAATTAAGGAGTCTCTGGCTCGAGAGGGTTCACGTCCCTGAACTCTCCAACTCAACCACCCCCTTGAAAAATCTCCACAAGATGTCTTTGATTCTGTGCAAGATCAATAAAAGTTTTGATCAAACCGGAGTTGACGTGGCCGATATCTTCCCAAAATTGGGGGATCTGACGATAGATCACTGTGATGATCTCGTGGCACTACCTTCAAGCATTTGCGGATTGACCTCTCTTAGCTGCTTAAGCATAACAAATTGTCCACGCCTCGGTGAATTGCCCAAGAACCTCGGTAAGCTACAAGCTCTCGAAATCTTAAGGCTATATGCTTGCCCTGAGCTAAAGACATTAACTGGAGAAATCTGTGAGCTTCTTCGGCTTAAGTACCTCGATATCTCACAATGCGTTAGCCTGAGTTGTCTTCCAGAGGAAATAGGAAAGCTAAAGAAGCTTGAGAAGATTGACATGAGAGAATGTTGTTTTTCGGGTAGACCGAGCTCCGCTGTTTCATTGAAGTCTCTACGCCATGTAATATGTGATACAGACGTTGCATTTATGTGGGAAGAAGTTGAGAAGGCTGTTCCAGGATTAAAGATAGAAGCTGCTGAGAAATGCTTCAGCCTAGATTGGCTTGACGAGTAGATCCTAAACCCAAAAAGTTGTTTGTATAAAAAGTGTAAACTCATTGTTTAGAGTCTGTTAAGTTAAAAAAAAGCTTGTATAGAACTCTTTCTACTCTGTTTTCTCATTTCTAAGTTCAATAAAGGATAAACCTTTCACAACAAACTTCTACTCTCTCATTTCTGTCAATCGTAACAATCTACATGAAAGCTTGAAAACCAATTTTCTTAACAATTAATCAATCCGGAAATTGAAAAGATTTGTGTAACAAAGCAGATTCTGTTCCAAATTCCTCGACAAAGATGCCAAAATAAAGAATATAAGAAAAGAGATTTCTTTGTAATTCTGTATTGTAACATAATAAATTAGGCTTTGTAAAGTGAGACTAATCATCCCGTTGGCCTCAACATGTTTTGATCAAATCGAAGCTTTTTTAAACTGCTCGGTCTTTTCCTTTTGCCTCGTGCAGGTTTCTTCTTAATTCGGACCAAACTTGGAACATCTCACAGTTTTTGACAGGTTCTCCTAGATCCAATCCTCTAAAATATCCTGCCTCTCCAATAACGTTAAATCCTCTAAAGGAACCCTTGAAAGAATCTCCTCTATCAAATCCGTTGGAAGATCTGAAATTTGTTTCCAAAGTAGAAAGTGAAAATATAAAACCCCAACATAATCATAATGGTGCAACCAAAATATCCAGCGGCAAAAGCTAACAAGACTGAAAGTTGACTGCTTGTCCCATACAAGTTTCAAGGTCGCTGAATTAGGGATTAGGGTTTCTCTTGTTGCTTTCCCACCAAGGCAGGTTTCTCATTTCTCAGTGATACTTGTGAGCCCAATGCAAATCATCTTGTTAAAACATTCTTCTTAGGCTTAATCGTCAAAATTACCGACATTGAGAGCACAACAGGCCTCGAGGCCCACTAGTATAAAGAGGCCCAACTGGTTCCGTTAATCTTCGGATAAATTTGATCGAAGCAAAGACAGATACCCTACCTAGTTCCTCCCAATTCGATGTTGCGAAACGCGGTGAAATTGTTGCATAGGGGGAATCCCGTGAGTGAGAAAGGTCTGTCTTTTTTTTTGTTTTGTTTCTGATGCATATATTAGTGTGATCCTTGTGATTTGATCCTTGACGATTGCGGTTTTCTATCATCTGGCGATTGGTGGTTTTGGATTCGGGGCAGGTATGTGAATACTTTCTTGTCAACAGCCCTTTCTCTGTCTTAATTTTTTAGCAGTAGTTGAGAGATGTTTAAGACAAAAAAAATGATTGCTTTCGCTGCTCAGGTGCTCTGTCAACAAATCACTTGGATCAGAAACTTGGATTCGGGGCAGGTATCATAGTATATCGCAGTGACTTGGATCCGGACAACCATTCCACCTGTTTCTTCTTCTTCTTGTTCCAGGAAGTCGTGAGACTGAGAGAAGAGCTGGATGAGGCTATTCTGCCGAGGTTGCCCGAGGAGCTACGAAGGATCGAAAAATAATGAAAATTTTCAATTTTGTGTGTGTAATTCGGTGATATGTTTTGCACGCATTACCTCTTTGGTGTCAATCTGTTTTTCTTAACCTGCTTGGATACTGTTGTTGTAATTTGCTTGGTCTTCTTACTTAGTGTTGAACCAACTTTCTGCATTATTATTTCTTCCTCTCCCTTACGCGACTCTGTTGTGCTTACTTCTTAATATGCCCTTTGCTCTTCATGACAAGCTTAGTCCTATTTATACCTTCCCATATTCAAGCTTATGCATACATGTTCAAAAAGCAAGACATAGCATCCTGTGTTATCGTGCTCCATCTTAATGATCTTCTTCTGCTGCAAATCCAGCTATGGTTAACCAGTAATTTAATTTAACCACAACATGTCTTTGATTCTGTGCAAGATCAATAAAAGTTTTGATCAAACCGGAGTTGACGTGGCCGATATCTTCTCAAAATTGGGGGATCTGACGATAGATCACTGTGATGATCTCGTGCATTTGCGGATTGACCTCTCTTAGCTGCTTAAGCATAAAAAATTGTCCACGCCTCGGTGAATTGCCCAAGAACCTCAGTACAAGCTCTCGAAATCTTAAGGCTGTATGCTTGCCCTGAGCTAAAGACATTAAGTGGAGAAATCTGTGAGCTTCCTGGGCTTAAGTACCTAGACATCTCACAATGTGTTAGCCTGAGTTGTCTTCCAGAGGAAATAGGAAAGCTAAAGAAGCTTGAGAAGATCGACATGAGAGAATGTTGTTTCGGGTAGACCGAGCTCTGCTAATTCACTGAAATCTCTGCGCCATGTAATATGCGATACCGACGTTGCATTTATGTGGGACGAAGTTAAGAAGGTCGTTCCAGGACTAAAGATTGAAGCTGCTGAGAAATGCTTCAGCCTAGATTGGCTTGACGAGTAGATCCCAAACCCATAAAAGTTGTTGTATAAAGTGTAAACTCATTGTTTAGAGTCTGGTAAGTAAATCAGCTTGTATAGAACTCTTTGTACTCTGTTTTCTCATTTCTAAATTCAAAAAAAGGATAACCTTTCATAACAAACTTCTACTCTCTCATTTCTGTCAATCGTAATAATCTACACACATAAGCTTCAAAACCAGCATCTCAACAATTAATCCGGAAATTGAAAAGATTTGTGAAACAAAGCAGATTCAGTTCCAAGTTCCTCGACAAAGATACCAAAATAAAGAAAATAAGAAAAGTCATAGATTTCTTGGTCATTCTGTACTGTAACATAATAAACTAGGCTTTGTAAAGTGAGACTAATCATCCCGTTTTCTCGTTATGGCCTCCTCCTGCATATGACTGTCTTTTTAAATGCGGTCAGGTTGAGGTTTCTTCTTAATTTGGACCAAACTTGGAACATAAGAGCACACATTTGACCTACAGTTTTCGCCTGACGAGGTGGAGAAATGGCGAGTCCATCTGCCGCCAGGATACTGCAGCTTTCGATGATACAAAGGTAATTACAAATCCTGGGAATCTGGATGAAAAGAAATAGGATAATCTGGTTTACCTTAGCAAACATGTTTCGCATCATCATCTTGCTCGCTGAATGAGGGATTAGGGTTTCTCTGGTTGCTTTCCCACCAAGGCCTGTCTTAAAATCAATCTCTCTACTGAGCCCAATGCAAGCCCATTTACCTATTTATTCCACAATGCCAAGTGTGTATGTTCTTCTTAAGGTCAAATTTTACATTTGCGAGCACAAACAGGCCTCTAGGCCCATTAGTATAAAGAGGCCCGACTGGATCCGTTAAATCTTCGGGTAAATCATAAAACTGATCGAAGCAAATGCAAATCTCACTCGAGAGGAAGAAGATGGAAGAGAGTTGCGAGGATTGCATGAAATGGGAAGAAGAACTCTACTGGACTCATTTTCAAACCCTCCATTTCACTCAGCTCCTCCTTCCTGGTTTCCACTATCGCCTTGTATGTCTCTATCACTTTCTCTAATAACCTTCTTCTTCATGCATCTTTATCAGCAATTCATGTCTCTCTTTCGATTTCTTCATGTATTCACTTTCCTTTTTTTTTCTACTGGGTCTTAATTTGGGGATTTTACCCTCAAATCTATTAAAGGGTTTAAGTAATTTTTGTTATTTTCTCTCAAAATCACTTCTAAGATCAAAATTACCACTTTTTGCAAATAATTGCAGGCCATACCTCAAAAGTTTTCAACACATTGCAAAAGGAAGCTACCTCAGATTGTCACCCTCAAAAGTCCAAGTGGCGCTACTTACAGTGTGAGAGTAGAGGAAGATGATGAAAAGACACTGGCTTTTGGTTTTGGGTGGGACAAGTTTGTCAAAGATCATTCGCTAGAGGAGAATGATCTATTGGTCTTCAAGTTCCATGGACTGTCTGAGTTTGAAGTGCTGGTTTTTGATGGACAGACTTTATGTGAGAAACCCACTTCTTATTTCGTCAGGAAATGTGGGCATGCAGAGAAGACCAAAGGTACTGATTTTAATGCAACCTCTTCGAGAACTCCTAAGAGACACTTTAACCCTGCTGTTGTTGAAACTACACCAAACCAACAACTTGTTATATCTCCGGCTGATAATGAGCTAGAAGACCTCATTGACATTGATGTTGATATTGATATTGATACAATGCTAAATCCGCTTCTTGTAGTATCTCAGACCGGTTATGAGCAAGAAGAACATATTAACCCTGACATTGATACAGCATCTGCCCAGCTTCCTGTTATATCTCCAACTAGTACAGTACGAGTCAGTGAAAGGAAGTATCATCCCCTTAGCAGTTTTAAGAAGATGCGAGGAGAAATAAGTAATGACAATCTCGATCAAAAAACTGGTATGAAAATCTTCTTACTTATTGATTACACAGTGCACTAGTTTCTTGTAATCATCTGATAAGCCCTGTCTGGAGACTCTACTTTGCATGCAACTTTTTGGTTAGAGTTTCAGGTTTTGAGAATTTTGCTGTCATAACAGTTTGGAGTAACTGATTCCTTAGTCTTGGATATTATATGATTCTGGAGACTAGTTGTGGAGATTATAAAATTGTCAACTTCATACTAGCCATAATAGCCTTTGATCCATTTGTCTTTAAAGTTTATAACTTTAGATGGTGGAATGAGTTCATATATTTATCAGTTTCTATCTCATTGTATATGCACCTATAACACTAATATGTATCCCTTATCAACTGTCTTAAGACGTAGAGATGATTTCAGCTGGAAGCAATAACAGAGCCTTATCTCTGGCGAAGGGAGCCATTTCGCCGGATGGTTTCTTGGTGTTCATGAGACGCTCTCATGTTCTATCGAAGTGTTTTCTGGTAAGACTTTTGTATTGCTTTGTGTATCGTCTTTAATATTTTTGAAGCTCTGATTATTGGAAAAAAAAAAAAAAGAAGAGGTCACGATTTCTTTTGAAAACAGACAATCCCATACAAATGGTGCGTGAAGAACATGCTTATGGCACGTCAAGAAGTGGTGATGCAGGTGGATCAAAGGAAATGGGACATGAAGTTTAACTTTTTCGGAGCTCGTGGTAGTGGTGGGATTTCAACCGGGTGGAAGAAGTTTGTACAAGACAACAACTTGCGCGAAGGTGACGTCTGTGTGTTTGAGCCAGCGAATTCTGTAACAAAACCGCTTCATCTCAATGTCTATATATTCTGTGGTGAAGAAACGGAAAGAAGCAAGAATGTTGACTCGGTTCACACAATAAGTAGTGAATAAGTAATTAAGCAAGGCTACAATGTTTTCTGTAACCTGGTAGTGTAAAGTATGTGTAGTGTAGATGAAAACTTGTGTATATAAAGGTAAACGTAAGAATGTACTGTAATCTAGCTCACTATGCCTTTTTGGGTGTATGTATATAACGGAACTCTTCTGGTAATGCCTATTTTCCTGTGTTGGGGCATGCCAGAAGAAGTAAACCAACTCTTTATCTTTTGGTATAGTCATGTTAAATCAGTCATAAGTCCAGTGCTTTTTGCTTTGGTTTGTAAGATTTGAGATGAATATTTTAGCCAGTAATAAGTAATACTAATATTTTAGCTAGTCTCTTTGTAAAATTGGTCTGATCTTTTGCTATATCTAGCCTAAGAATTGCTGATTTTAGAGGCAGGGGCATTACCGTAAAAGCGTAATTCACAACGTCTCTCTCGAAAATATAGCCGTTACAGTTTCCCATTATAAAGATTAGAGTCAGCAAAAACCCTAAATTGACTCCACTGCTGCTATAAGATCTCAAATTTTGTACCTAGGCAATCACCCAATCTGCTCTCATCAGCGAAGAAATTCTTCACTCGCTCTCTCCTCTGCTCGAATTTCGTTTAATCTTTTAATATCCGTTTCTTTTATCATCGCTTTTGTGTTTGTTTTTGGATTTTTGTTTGTGTTTGGTGATAATGGATGCAGGTATGAACACATCTTCTCACTACAAGTCGCAGGCTCGGTGCCCTCTTCAAGAACACTTTCTTCCCAGGAAAACTTCCAAGGAAAACGTAAGTCTGATTCTGTCATTAAGAATTAGGGTTTTGATTTTCGGGTGCTCTTTATTAGTTCATCAGAATCGATTATCGTTATGGGATTCCGTTCAAATTAGGGTTTTGATTTGCTGGTTAATTCTTCAGAATCGATACCTTCTCACAAATTAGGATTTCGATTTGTGGGTTTTTGTTCTTTTTGCATTAACATCTGTTTGTCCCATAATAATAATATTCCCCTTGATTTGGATACTAGAATTGTTGATTCTGTTGGTTTTGTCATAAGAAAAATCATGTAATTGATTGGTTGTTTCTTGCATAAATTGGATTTGTGATATTGAATGAATTGTACTGATTGCTTTTGCTTATCAGCTGGACAGGTTCATACCAAACAGGTCAGCCATGGATTTCGACTATGCTCACTTTGCCCTCACTGAAGGAAGAAAAGGTAACGATCAGACTGCAGCGGTAAGTTCACCATCCAAAGAGGCCTACAGGAAGCAATTGGCTGAGACCATGAATCTCAATCACACTCGGATTCTCGCCTTCAGAAACAAACCTCAGGCTCCTGTAGAACTGCTTCCCAGCAATCACTCTGCTTCTCTTCACCAACAGCCCAAATCCGTAAAGCCTCGTCGATACATTCCTCAGGTTTGTTCTTGTTACTTTTGCGTTTGAAATTAAATAGCCACCTAGTTGTTACTTTGGAGTTGTATTGACCTGTTGTTAAACTTTGTGTTGTAATAATAGACTTCTGAGAGAACCTTGGATGCACCTGACATTGTGGATGATTTCTACCTCAACTTGCTGGACTGGGGCAGTGCAAATGTCTTAGCCATAGCCTTGGACCACACTGTCTACTTGTGGGATGCTTCCACTGGTTCTACATCTGAGCTTGTGACCATTGATGAAGAGAAGGGACCTGTCACAAGTATCAACTGGGCTCCTGATGGTCGTCATGTTGCTGTTGGACTCAACAACTCTGAAGTCCAGCTGTGGGATTCTGCATCCAACCGTCAAGTAATTACTATAATCCTTCTCTTATTTTGAGATATAATATCCTGTTTGTCATGTCTTAACCTTTGAATTGGACTTTTCTGCAGCTGAGAACATTGAGTGGTTGCCACCAGTCTAGAGTAGGATCACTGGCATGGAACAATCATATCTTAACAACTGGAGGAATGGACGGACAGATTGTCAACAACGATGTACGGATCAGATCACATATTGTGGAAACCTACAGGGGTCACACCCAAGAGGTTTGTGGTCTCAAGTGGTCAGGATCTGGACAGCAACTAGCAAGTGGAGGCAACGACAATGTCGTACACATATGGGATCGGTCTGTTGCTTCCTTAAACTCAACCACACAATGGCTCCACAGGGTTGAGGAACATACATCTGCTGTGAAAGCTCTTGCGTGGTGCCCTTTCCAAGCGAATTTGCTTGCAACAGGTGGTGGTGGAGGAGATAGGACGATCAAATTCTGGAATACTCACACCGGGGCTTGCTTGAATTCAGTAGACACTGGCTCTCAAGTTTGTTCTTTGTTATGGAGCAAGAATGAAAGAGAGTTGCTTAGCTCACATGGGTTTACACAGAATCAGCTCACACTTTGGAAGTATCCATCCATGGTGAAAATGGCTGAGCTCAGTGGTCATACATCAAGAGTTCTATATATGGCCCAGGTAAAGAAAAACAACTTAATCAATTTTAACTGTTCAAAGTAGTTAGAGATGTTTGAGGTCTGTAGTCCTAAAACTTGTGTTTTTTTGTGTTGTGTTTCTTGCAGAGTCCTGATGGTTGTACCGTAGCTTCAGCAGCAGGAGACGAGACTTTGAGGTTTTGGAATGTTTTTGGAGTACCAGAGACTGCCAAAAAAGCTGCACCAAAAGCAGTTTCCGAGCCATTTTCTCATGTGAATCGTATTCGTTGAAGCTTGTGAAGACTAACAAGAAGGAGAGCCATTGATACAGCTGCAAAATATTCAATTTTGTTTTCTCGGATTCATTCTTCATGAATTGTATTGACAAGAAAAGTGCACATTGTACAATTTTATATATGTAAATTCTTGAGTCAAACTTAATTGTACAATGTTGAATAGAAAGAAAGATTTTGATTATAAATGTAACATGTCAGATAAGCAGAGAATACATGTCAGATGATACAAGAAGCATAAGGACTGTAATCTGTAAGATGGTAATTGTAACTTCATCAAAATAGACATTTAAAACCACGCTAATCTAATCACACTAGTGTGTAGTGTCAAGTGTGTACAGTGTATTCTTACTGTGATTGGAATTTCGTAAGAGTTTTTTTTTTTTTTTTCATTCTCAAGTACTCATGCTATGTAATTGTGTTATACTTCATTCTCAGTTTAATGAACTGATTAAGCTTTTGTTGTAGTCTTTTCGCCCAATAAAAATAAAATATTCAGGTTATAAAAAATAAAACAAAATAAAATCTGTCCATTAAAAAAAAGGGGATATAAAATTTTTATTTGATAAAATAATAATAAAACAAATATTATCACACATAACAAGTCTTTACCATAAACCAGAGATTATTCACTAAAAATCATCCACCCTCTAACCCAAACCAAATATTATGGAGGTTAAAACAAAAACAATTATTTACACGAATCATACATCGAAATACGTTGGATGGTCTAAGGTAGATGATAAATGGTTATTGTGGTTCATTTCCTGTATGAAACTTTTTTTTGTTTTTGTATAATTCTAGATTGAAGGTAACTATGGTGTTTAATTTATGTGAGTGTTAACCTCTTTTTAGTACCAATAATTATTTAACTATTTTCATTATTACTATTGTTACATTTCCTGTTTTTTCAATATACAAATATTAAAACGAGACATAGAATTAGGGTTGCCTAATTGCCGTCTCTTCGGCGGTATAGAGGGCTTTTTCCGTGAACATAATTTTCAACGGCTCTCTCAGATTTATAGCCGTTACCGACTTTCCGATTATAGAATTAGACTCCCCCAAAACCCTAAATTGACTCTACTGCTTTTATAAATAACCCCAAATTTCGTACCTTTTCAATCACCTTAATCTGCTCTAGCTCTCTCATCATCAGCGAAGAACAACTCTTCGCTCTCTCTGCTCGAATTCACTGACGATCCCTTCTAGTTTGATTTGATTCGTCTTTATCTAGTTTCGTTTATATCTTCTAATCAATTTCGTATATCATCGCTTTTGTGTGTTTTGGGATTTTCTTTGTGTTTAGTGATAATGGATGCAGGTTTGAATCGGTGCCCACTTCAAGAACACTTTCTTCCCAGAAAAAGTTCCAAGGAAAATGTAAGTATCTTACTTCAATCTGATTCCGTACTGCCGTTAAGATTTAGGGTTCCAAGTGTGTGAGTGCTCTTTGATTCTTCAGATTCGATACCATTTTTATGATATAGAATTAGGGTTTAGATTTGCGGGTTGTTCATCTGAATCCAAAATTGTTTGACCCATATAATTGATTTGATTCAGCTACTGTATGAACGAATTGTTGTTATTGTCTTGCATAGATTTGATTTGTGATATTGAATGAATTGTACTGATTGATTGCTTTTATCTTCCACCAGCTTGACAGGTTCATACCGAATAGATCAGCCATGGATTTCGACTATGCTCACTTTGCCCTCACTGAAGGAAGAAAAGGTAACGATCAGGCATCAGCGGTAAGTTCACCATCCAAAGAGGCCTACAGGAACCAATTGGCTGAGACCATGAATCTCAATCACACTCGGATTCTCGCCTTCAGAAACAAACCTCAAGCTCCTGTAGAACTGCTTCCCAGCAATCACTCTTCTTCTCTTCACCAACAACCCAAATCCGTCAAGCCTCGTAGATACATTCCTCAGGTCTGTACTGTATGTTTTGCGTTTGATTTAAAGCCTACCTACTTGTTGCTGTTTTGGAGTTGTATTGATCTGTTGTTAATCTTTTTGTTGTAATGATAGACTTCTGAGAGAACCTTAGATGCACCTGACATTGTGGATGACTTCTACCTCAACTTGCTGGACTGGGGCAGTGCTAATGTCCTAGCCATAGCTTTGGGCCACACTGTTTATTTGTGGGATGCTTCCACTGGTTCTACATCTGAGCTTGTGACCATTGATGAGGAGAAGGGACCTGTCACAAGTATCAACTGGGCACCTGATGGTCGTCATGTTGCTGTTGGACTCAACAACTCTGAAGTCCAGCTTTGGGATTCTGCATCTAACCGTCAAGTAATTACTAATCCCTCTCTTTTATGTTGAGATATAACATCCGGTGTTTCTGTGTTCTTAGTCTGACGTGTTTATCATATTTCTGCAGCTGAGAACATTGAAGGGTGGTCACCAGTCAAGAGTAGGATCACTGGCATGGAACAATCACATCCTTACTACTGGAGGAATGGATGGGCTGATCATTAACAATGATGTGAGGATCAGATCACCCATTGTTGAAACTTACAGAGGTCACACTCAAGAGGTTTGTGGGCTAAAGTGGTCAGGATCTGGACAGCAACTAGCAAGTGGAGGCAACGACAATGTCGTACACATATGGGATCGTTCTGTTGCTTCCTCAAACTCAAACACGCAATGGCTGCACAGACTTGAGGAACATACATCTGCTGTGAAAGCTCTTGCGTGGTGCCCTTTCCAAGCGAATTTGCTTGCAACTGGTGGTGGTGGAGGAGACAGGACGATAAAATTCTGGAACACTCACACCGGGGCTTGTTTGAACTCAGTAGACACTGGCTCCCAAGTTTGTTCGTTGTTATGGAGCAAGAATGAAAGAGAGTTGCTTAGTTCACATGGGTTTACACAGAATCAGCTCACACTTTGGAAGTACCCATCCATGGTGAAAATGGCTGAGCTCACTGGTCATACATCAAGAGTTCTATATATGGCCCAGGTAACTTCATCAATTTCTTTAGGTGGTGAAAGTAGTTTGAGTCTTTGAAGTCATTAGTCCTAAAACTCGTGTTGTTTGTTGTGTGTTTCTACAGAGTCCAGATGGTTGTACCGTAGCTTCAGCAGCAGGAGATGAAACTCTGAGGTTCTGGAATGTTTTTGGAGTACCAGAGACCGCCAAAAAGGCTGCTCCAAAAGCAGTTTCCGAGCCATTTTCTCATGTGAATCGTATTCGTTGAAGCTGTGAAGACTAACAAGAAGGAAACCCATTGATTATTACAAAAAGGAATCATCTATTTTGAATTACTAAAGGATTCATTCTTCGTGAACTGTATTGACAAATAGAGACTGAGTTTGAATATAAAGACTACTTGTATTTGTATATATTGAAATTTAAAAATAGAAGATTATGATTTTATACTCTTGAAGGATATCCACTTTTATTATTCCACTGGAAACAAAGTGAGAATTAATGAAGATTTTGTTGCCTGCTGCTGGCAGTTTTGTTTGAAAAGATTATCACTGGTGAACTTTTGGACCATGGTTAATCGAATGCAAAAGACGAGTACAATGAGTTATATTACCTTGAAAACTCTAGTGTAGTATCAATCTAAAAGCAAACTGAGAAAGTAGTTATTTACTGAGTCTATGGCATCAAAGGCTTGATGATACAGGTGCAACATTTTTCAGCTTATAGCTTCCTCTAAGCTGGAATCCGTGCCACAAGCTTTTCTATCTGTTTTGTGCAATGACTTCAAGGGGAACTGTTGTTGGCCGTTCATGAGCACACACTGTCTTAATGGGTGAATTTGATTGAAGATTAGGTAGTTGATGTTTCTTACTTACCTGTAAACAAAGTAAGAATTCATAAAGATAAATTTCATTGAAGTCCGTTGAATGAAGTCTATTACCATATACATATCTCTGTTTGTAGAGTGCTCTGTTTCAACAGTCACACAACAAACATCAAATAATTACCTTGATAGATTGATACACAGTAAGAAAATATGATTCTTGTAACGGTAATGTAATTTCTTTCTTACTTTGATCAATTTCCGTTTTAACATCAAAAAAAAAAAAAAAAGAAGGAAACAACAGAATCTAGTCGGAAAAGGAAAAAGGAGATAAGAAGAGACAATTTCCTTTTTTCAAAGGAACCTCTGCTTATAAATACTCCCACTCTCATATCTTCTTCTTCGTTGAGAAATCAAAAACCATCTTTCATCTTCTTTCTTTTTATACCTGCAATTTCTCTTCTCGATCAAAGCTCTGTGAGACTGATCACTGATGTGCTTTCGATCTCTCTTGACAAAAATCGAGTTCACTTTTTAGTTCGTGTCTCCCTAATTTCACACGATCAAAGATCTCGCCATCGAAACACTTTCACCGGAGGATTCTTTCAACGTCGCCGAAGGAGATGATTACATGACGGAGAAGGATGCGAGGAAGACGATGGCGAAGAACGACCACTTAGCAGATTCGTTGGCTTTAGACTACAATTCGACTGCGGAGGAAGAAGACGAATTTGTGTTTCATTTCATCGATCGATAATCATCACCAGAAGAGAGCCAAGGTTTGTGCTTTCCTAATTTCCTTTTTTAAATAAAAGATTTTGCTTTTTAAAAGCTTTTTTTTTTCTTGTGTTTATTTTTTTCATATATATTAAATTTACATAAAAATATATAAAACACGAACCTCCTTTAGCAACAGCACCGGACATAGCTACAAACATTTGGAAGCTAAAAATCACTCCAAAGCTAAGGCACTTTATTTGGAGAACAGCGTCAAAGGCTATAGGGGTAGCGGAGAAATCTATAAAGACGACACATTAACGTTAACCCTTATTGTGCAAGATGCTGCACGGATATAGAGTCAAGTGATCATGCTTTGTTCTCATGCCCGTACGCGGAAACAGTCTGGAGAGACACCGGAATCCCAGTCATGGATTTGTGCAACCCGCAAATTCACCTTGAAGAGAAGCTACGGTACCTGATCGATCTTTCTAAGGAGGGAAAGATAGAGGAAAGCCTGCGTTTACTACCATTCTGGGTGCTATGGTGGCTCTGGAAGAGCAGGAATGCCCTGGTTTTTAATAAGGTAACTATCACCGCCGAGGAGACTCTGGCCCGTGCCGCTGCGGACACTAAAGAGTGGATTGAAAGCAGGAAAGCCACCAATGAAGGCCCACCACAACACATACACTCATCGGGACGATTAGAAAAGTGGACAAGACTCGCAAGAGGATGGGTCAAATGTAACTACGACGCAGCTCATCGTGAAGGGAAGGAAGACTCAGGGCTAGGATGGATCATACGTGACTCACAAGGTATTTTTTTACACAGTGGATGGGGCAAATTCCAAGGGAGAGTAAGTGCGGAAGAGGCTGAATGCACAACTCTCATTTGGGCAATCCAAGCAACATGGGCTTATGGATATCGAACAGTCGTCTTTGAAGGGGATAATCTCAACCTGAACGACACCATTAACAAAAACAAGGAAAACCTCAGGTTGCAACACTACATCCAAGCGATCCAGCAATGGCGAATGTGCTTTACGGAAACGAAGTTCACTTTCAAGCACCGTGAGCAAAATAGATGCGCGGATACACTTGCGAAAAAAGCGATAACGGTGAACCAAGCATGGTGCTTGTATAATTCTTGTCCTTTCTATTTATGGTCTCTTGTAAACAATGATAACTACCTTGATAACTAATAAAGTTCTCAGAAGTTCAAAAAGAAAATATACTAAAACTAGCCGGATTTTGGATCCAGCATTAGTCGTTAGCGATTCCAAACATTCAACTTGTTTTCATATTATCTTTATGTGAATTTTAGTATCTAAATTTTTAATTCGATTTAAAGAAAATAGTTATTAAAATTTTAGTATTTTTTTTCGGATTTATTGATTTTTTTTTAATTCTAAATTTACATAAAGATATATGAACATAACCGGATTTTGGATCCAGCATTAGTCGTTAGCGATTCCAAACATTCAACTTGTTCTCATATCATCTTTATGTAAATTTTAGAATCCAAGTTTTTAGTTCAATTTTAAAATTATACTATTTTTATACGGATTTTTAAAGGTTTTATTGATTTTTTTTATTCTAAATTTACATAAAGATATATGAAACTAACCGGATTTTGAATCCAGCATTAGTCGTTAGCGATTCCAAACTTTATATTTTGCAGTATTGAAATTTAGATTCCAAAAAAGATTTTTTGTTTAAATTATTGAAAACCCTTAAATTTTGCAGTATTTAAATTTAAATAATCATAATTTTAATTCAGAAAGTAAGGTTTTTTTTTTGTTTATTAAAAATGCTTCTCAAGTCTAACATTATATGCAAAATTTATATTAATTTAATAGTTTATGATTGTTTAGATTTTGCAGTTTTTTTTATATTGGTTGAATATTGGGCATATTGAATAATTTTGATTTGAATCTATTTGGATTTTTTTTTTTTGACATTTCGCTAGCCAGGAAAAATTATTTACCAAACAAACCTTAGTCATTTCTATCATCGTAACTTAACCCTATAACTTTTGTCAATTGCATCATTTAGCCCACACGACAAAACTTGGTCGTTTAGCCCATAAACCCTAGATCCGTCTGAGCCGCGAACTATCCTCTCTGCACATCAATCGGGAGCACGAAGAGACAGAAACGAGAAAGAGAAAGAAGGAGAGATGGGAGTAGAGATCCAGTCCCCGCAGGAACAGAGCTCTTACACTGTTGAGCAGCTCGTCGCCGTCAATCCCTTCAACCCTGAAATCCTTCCTGATCTCGAAAACTACGTTAATGAGCAGGTTCCTTTTCCGTTTTCTCCCTAAATTTTTAGGGTTTCCTTATCAATTGATATGAGCATGTCGCCGGATTCTGATTTCTGAGTAATTGGAATGTTCTATAGTAGAAATCTTCTTCCATTGATTGTTGTTGGTTTCGCTATGACTTTCAGGTTACATCTCAAACGTATAGTCTAGAAGCAAACCTATGCTTGCTTCGGCTCTATCAGGTGCTTTAGTTGATCATAAGCTGGACCATTGATACCAATTCAAGTGTTTTAGTGTCTCTAATTGTTATTGTTTCTTATATGCAGTTTGAGCCTGAGCGCATGAATACTCATATCGTGGCTCGAATCTTGGTCAAGGTATATGACAGAGTCCACTCCTAGTTTAATAATGTTTGTTGTCTTACTCTTAATAATTTACTCTCCCTGATTTTGTTTTCTGTCTTGTTTTCAAGGCTCTTATGGCTATGCCAACTCCAGACTTCAGCCTTTGCCTCTACTTGATTCCCGAAAGAGTGGTATTGTTCTTTCCTTTTAACTTCATCATTTTTTGTTTTGTTTTCGTTCAAATGTTTTCTTTTTCTTAAGGAATTGATGGTGGACTCAAATTATTGTGCTCTTCCAAGTTATTTCAGTCTGTATACTGAGCCTTCATGATCAAGTGTGAGTGTCAATGTGTTGGATTCTTGAGAACTAATAAATGCAATTGTTTGGATTGTGTGTTTCAGCAAATGGAGGAGCAGTTCAAGGCACTAATTGTTCTATCACACTACCTTGAGGTACGTAAACATCAATGTTAGTTGAGAGCCGAAAAGGTGTACATTGTGTATTTAAAACGCTTGTTTTTCTTTTGCAGACTGGGAGGTTCCAACAGTTCTGGGATGAAGCTGCCAAGAACCGTCATATTCTCGAAGCTGTTCCAGGTAACAAAACTTCTGAATACTAAATAAAATTGTGTGGTAAAAACTGGATCTAGATTAGTTACTCAAGGATGAATAAATCGTCTAGAAATGCCAGCCCAAACAAAAGTCCTGAATAGTGATTTATGGTACTGTCTATTCATTTTATGATTGTGTGTAGATGTCTTATATGTTAGAGATTAAGTGCAGGTTTTGAGCAAGCTATCCAAGCATATGCAAGTCACCTTCTTAGCTTAAGCTACCAAAAAGTTCCAAGATCTGTGCTTGCTGAGGTATGATGTTTGGTTTATGATTCGTGACAGATAGCCTGATTTTCAGTATGATTAGCGTAAGTTATCAAATGGTAGAACTTTGGATATGAAATCTCTGACTTTCTCGTATAATTTTCGCTTACCAAAATCCAAATCATAGTTCTGGAAACCTATTTAGTTGACATTTTATTGTAAATAAATGCCCCTTGCTCATTAGTTATAAACATTTTGCACAGGCTGTTAACATGGATGGTGCATCTCTAGACAAGTTTATTGAGCACCAAGTGACTAGCAGTGGATGGATTGTTGAGAAAGAGGGTGGAAGTATTGTCTTGCCGCAAAATGAATTTAACCATCCGGAACTTAAGAAAAATACAGGTGAGAATGTTCCCTTGGAACACATCGCTCGCATCTTCCCCATCCTTGGTTGAATCAAGTTATGAGGACACTGCAAATTTTCCTTTTGTCTCTTGTTTTCTTGTGATGTACTACACTTTTAAGACACTAATGTGAATTCTGGCACTGGCCTTCCTCTTTGCATTTTGGAGAGATTTTCTTAAAAATCAAGTAGACCAAAGACATTACCATAAGTAGTAGATCTTTGCAATCTTATTGGGATGCCATAGTTTTTATACTCAGAGCTCTGTTTCTTGTGTTTTTTTTTTAAATCTTCAGTGGATTCCAATACTGGTTTCTCAATTATCATTGCTGGTATAATCATGTATTTGGAGGGTCGGCATCACTTCATCTACAAGTGTTGGAAGTGGATCGTTTATTATTGATTTTCTTCTGTTTACTTCATTACTTCAAACTTTACTTGAACGAATTTTCAGACAACCCAAACAAAATTCACCAATTGTCTTCTTTTAAAAAGAAAATTTTCCGCTTAGGTCTCTTGGAATATAGGAACGGGCACGACAAAAACTCGTATTAAGGTCGTTGTTTCTTTGTTTTTGACAATCAAGGTCGTTTGAAATACAACGATACTGTCTTTGTATTGTCGTCGTCTCTACACAGATCACACATAAGCTGAAGATTGACAGCCATCCATTTGGAAGCTCACGTGTTTGACAGCAAATCATGTCACGTGCTCCTTTTTCTCTTTTCCCATGCATATTTTGACTGCCTTTTTTTTTAATTGATAAATTTTGACTGATTAAACTATAATTAGTTAGATCATCTCGTATCTAAGATGATTTTGACTGATTAACCATAAAACTATTTTACAAACAACGAGGTTATTTCCAAGACCATAAGGTTTGATTTTTTTTTTTTTTTCCATAAGGTTTGATTTAGATGTAACTAGTTTGCATATGAGATCTTTTGAATTGCATGACAGAATTAATAATTGAATTTTACTAATATAATATATAATTTTTTTTTTTAATTTGGTCGACAACAATGAATCTTTTTTATTATTTTTTTGACAGTCATGAACCTATTGATTTGTTTTATTTATTTAGTCGACATAATGAAGACTAATGAAGATATAATATGTAATTATGTAATTAAGACTAATGAAGATATAATATGTAATTTTCCCTTATACGTAATTGAAGTGAATATAACTATAATTAAATTTAGATACGTGTAGTATGATGGGTGATATATACGTGAATAAAAAAGTGAAATGGACAAGGCAAAGGCAATCAGACATTATTCAGACAGACAAGTCGAAAACGGGAGAAACAAAAGAAAGCCAAAGGATCACAGAGAAAGAAACTGCAAATCTTCGTTTATGTAAAATCTTCTTCTTATCCTCTCTTGTATTTCTTCAATTTCAAAGCTCTTTTTTCTATTCGTTTTTTTTCTTCTCTTCTTCGAATCTCTCTTATTGGGTATCCGAGAAAAATTGAGGAAAACTGTTTTCCCCTTTCCATTTTCTCAGCTTGGCACTTTTCTTTGAGATTATGGTTATTTGTTTTTTTTCGAAATTGATTTCAAATCTTATCCATAAGAAAATTTGTGCCTTGTGTTTTTAAAACAATTTCTGGAGTTTCCGTGTTTAATTTGTTTCTTATTTTGTTATGGTTTATTTTCTATTAAAAAAATTCGTTTCTTGCTTGCTCGTGTTAGTTTCGCATTTGGAGTTTCGTGCTCGTTTCGAGGGGGTTTATCGATTCGCATTTGTTGATTTCTGGGATCATACAGAAGAATTTGAGCTTGAGAAATTAAAATTCTTGAATCGAGCATAAATTCTGGATTTTTGAAGTTTGAGAGTGATCCAGTGACTTGGTCTCAATCTCGGAGGTATCTTGTTCCAGGTAAAATCCATTGGCATCTCTCTCCCTCTCTCAGGTTACTTAGTTCTAATAATATATGTTGATTTTCGTGGTTACAATTCATCTTCAGGGATCAAGGATTAGACTTAATGCGATTTAGCAAATGGGTTTTTCATGATGACTCTCCTTGTTGTTGGGGAGATTCAATAAATGGACTCACCAGATCACAAAGCACCTGGCTTTGTTGACATAGTCAAATCTTGGATCCCTAGAAAGAGTGAGTCCTCAAATATGTCGAGGGATTTTTGGATGCCTGACCAGAGTTGTCCTGTGTGTTACGAGTGTGATGCTCAGTTCACTGTGTTTAATCGAAGACATCATTGCCGGCTTTGTGGTCGAGTGTTTTGTGCCAAATGCGCTGCAAATTCTATCCCATCTCCATCAGATGAAACAAAGGATAGTCATGAGGAGCCAGAAAGGATTAGGGTTTGTAATTACTGCTACAAACAGTGGGAACAGGGGATAGTTCCCCCTGATAATGGGGCTTCTATTATTAGCCTTCATTTTAGTTCATCCCCTTCTGCTAGAAGCGTGGCAAGTACTACCTCTAATAGTAGCAATTGCACCATTGATTCAACTGCTGGACCTTCCCCTAGACCCAAAATGAATCCCCGAGCTAGCCGTCGCGTCTCGTTAAACATAGATTCTGAAAAGTCTGAGAAGCAGAATGGAACATCGCGTAGGAGCCTGGATCCTTATGGGCATGTGTTAGATTCTGAAAATCAAGTTGAATTCTTTGTGAACAGGTAACCTTTTTTTTCTGTGTGTGTGTGTGTGTGTGTATATATATAAACGACCGTGTAGCTTCTTTCATCTGTTATCTTTGATAACGCTTATGAGGTTTGCATGATGTCTATCACCAACTGTGTGTGTTGTGCTGGGTCTTTTCAAATGATTCACTATTGTCTCAGTTTGAATTTATTTGTTAAGTTGTTCATTTGTGCGATTAGTAGTGGCAGGAGTGATGGTGAAGCTGATGATGATGACGATTATCACTCTGATTTTGCACAATCTTACGCTCAAGGAAATGACTACTATGGTGCCATCAGCCTCGATGAAGTAGACCAGATCTATGGGTCACATGAAGCTCATGACGTTGGTGTAAAAATAGAACCAAACATAAGTTGCTTTCCCCCTGATCAAGATCTTGACTCACTGAATCCAGATACGATAGATAAAACCAGACAACAAGAAAATGGATGGAACGATGTGAAGGAGGGAAGCCCTCCTTGTGAAGAGTCCTTTGAGCCCGAAGTAGTGGATTTTGAGAGCGATGGCCTCTTATGGCTACCGCCAGAGCCAGAGAACGAAGAAGATGAAAGAGAAGCAGTGCTATCTGATGATGACGGTGATGAAGGTGATAGAGGTGATTGGGGCTACCTTCGCCCATCAAATAGCTTTAATGATAAGGACTTCCACTCTAA